ATTATTTTATAAATTAAATTCATTTTTTCATCTTTTAGTTTATTTCTTTGATTTAATTTTCCATTTAGAATTGATTGTTATCTTTATTTATTAGCAAATAAAGGTTCTGCCCTTTATACATTATCATCTACTTTTGTAATTAGTAAATCTCTAATATTGTCATCTATTGTGTCTAATTAACGACAAATTTCATATATTTCATTATTATCCTTTTCAAGTTCATTATCAAAGTATTTTAATTTCTTTAATAAATTATCAATCTCTGTTTCAACATTTTTATTGTATTACCAAAATTCTTATGATTTACTTAATTCCATAAGTTTACGATCTTATTGATCTCTCATTACATTTCCTAACAACTTTTACATTTTTGGTAAACTTTTCTATTGCATGAGTGATTATATAAGTGGATCTTCTATTCTTTATAAATCTTGAACATAATCTTCATATTGATATCGCTTTAAATCTGCTATCTTATTAGAAAATTCCTCCTTAAGTCTTCTCTTTTTATTTAAGATCAAACTTTTTCTTCTATTGAGCAACATAATCACCTCATTAACTACTTAAAAATAAATATACTATTTTAATCTAATTCTCTATTAATTTCTTCAAGTGATAACGAATTCAAATCTTCAAATTCGAAAGATGCATGTGGTGATGTATCAGCAAATCGAGCTACTCTTGGAGGAGTTTACATTCTCCCTTAAACAAATGAAGAATTTTAACTAAGTGGTCTTTAGGGTATGAATGGAGCATTGGTTGTGCTCGTATTTAATTTCATCAAATGAATTTAATAATATTAATATTCTATACATTTTATTGTAATTAATTTTTATTCATTTAATCCATATTTTCATTTATTCTTTATATCCGAAATCTCAAGATTAGTTTAAAATCTTTCTCTTTTTATGTGAATATTTATTGTTTATTAATATCAATACTACATTTTTTTAATTTACGATATACTATATTTTTAAATTAAAATATAATCTTAAATCTAAACTTTAAGTACAAATATAAATCATATCAAAAGCAAATCTATAAATTTCAGAGAAGAAAAGAAACTCTTTTTTCTTTTTTATTGATTGGTTATTTCTCCATCTTCTTAATTAACGATTCAAGTTCTACAAATTAATCATCTAAAGATTTTTTCTAAATTAATATTTTAATACCATTAATTATTCAATTCTTGCTGATCTTTTCATTGTCATTTCTTCAATTTATAGTTTTTGTTTCTTAATTTAAGGTAAAATAGATATATTTTCTTTCTTGCTTTCATTTTACAATTAAATATTATTTGTTTATATTACAATAGTTTGGTGTAGTATATCGTCATCATTACAATCTTGAGGATTAACTGGGTTTTTTTTTTATTTTATTTTTCTAGCAATTTTCTACTTCATTTTTTTAACTACTTCAAGTTTAGGTACAATTAATTTAAGTTAATTCACGTCTGCACTTTATGCATACTCTTATTTTAAAGTATTCTATTCTGAATCACCAATTGATGGGCTTTTTCTTTCCTTTGTCATCTTTTGGTTATGTTATATGCAATCTATATTCTATCAAAAACATATGATTACCTGAACTGACCACATTTATTTCATCTTAAACTATATTTTGCACATACTCAAAAGATGCCAATTACGTAATTTTTTAAGGTGGATAGTGAAGTTATCTCTTAAGTAGTTTTATAAGATTGGAGTCATTGTAAGGACTTAATGATTAAGATCTGAGTTATTTGTATTGAAATGGTTACTCTTATAAGGAATTCATTTAAATTAATAATGTTCCAAGAGTTTTCAATTATATATGATGAATAAAATTAGATGTTGATTCTAAAATAATAAGGATAATAGAAATTAATAAGGATTAGAAAAGATGGGCTTAATATAACAGCTATTAGTGCTGTATTAAGTTAGTCCAAAATTAGAATGAAAATAAAAATAAATAAGTTCAGATTATATTACTTTTTAGTGGTGAATAAATAGGCAAATTTTTTAGAAATTTCATACAATAATAAGTTGAAATATAAAGAAAGATTTAAATAACATCCTTTATAAAGAGAATCAACAATGATGGTATTATTTTGTTTTGAATGAGATTTTATAGTGAAAACTTCTTTCTTAAAGATTGAATTGAAGCTTGATAATTTAATTATATATTCAAAGAATTAAATAGTCTTTACTCAATTTAAGTTGAATAAACTTTAATAGCAAATTTTAAAATTTAGTTCTATTCATCATTAATTAATAATTTAAGTTTAAACAATCAAATTAAATTATCAGTTGATAGAATGATCTTTTTAATTAAATAAAATGTGAAGTCAGTCTCTGATGAAGATAATAAAGCAAGAATTTAATTGGCTCCATATTACTTGGTCATTTTAACAATCTTCATTTCAATCCATAGTGGTACAAATCCCACTTGGCTGATTCCACATTCTTAAAAATCTGCCAACATTTTTTGAATTCTATATATACTTTATATAAATACTATCTAATCAATAATTTATTGTTATCTTTTATAACATTAAAGAAAAGGGCTGTGATTTATACAGATATAATTCTGCTATTAAGCCGTTATAAGATAGAATAACATAAATCATTTCTCTTTAATTTCTATGCTAATCGAGCACATTTATATAAAAACATTGACTCAGCTTTTATAAATGCTATATAGGTTTTTTCTTTGTCTGGTTCATCTTCATTTAATGGTTGTACAATATAAAATTCTTTTAACTCAACTTATCCACCTAAATGTTACTTAGTCTATAAAGCTTTCTTTAAATTTGATTTAAACAAAGGAGATGATGCATTAGCAGGTTGTTAATTTTATGTCTAATTTTATTATTAGTTTTGTTAATTTAATTGTTGTTTATTCGATTCTTAAGAAGGATAAAATAATAAATCTAATTCAGTTTATATTTTATTAATTGTTTCTACCATTCCATTTAATAGATTATTTATCTATTCTTTTCTTCTTTTTAATTATTCATTCATCTACACTTATTCTTATTGACTTAAATTTTAATTTAAATAAGATATCAAACCATAAATTTATGATTTTGTTGGTTGAGTCGCATCCTAACCTGATTTAGGAGCTTATGAAATCATTTCATTTTACTATATATTAACTCTGTTAACAATAGTAATAAATTATTTATTTTACCTTTCTGATTCCACACTTTCAAATGCATTTTCTATAATTATAGTATTTGCCTTTTTTATTTATTATTATTTCTTTTTCATGCTTGTAAACTTTAATGGAGATTTTGTAACTTTATTATTATGTTGAGGAGTCTAATACATTCGAGGACCAATATTAGTAAAATCAAATGATTTATTAATTTTTTATTTTTTAAGAAACTCTGGTTGTTCTTCATCAGAATCACAGTCTTCTATGTCTTCTTGTAGTCTTGGATTACACATGCTTTTCTTTAAAAATAAGAATAACATTTATACATTTGTATTGCTTATTTAACTAATATTAAGGTTTAAATTTCTTTAATTTTTGATTGCAATTGAAAATTCACTTGGGTCATATATTTAATCAATTTATTTTTAGACTACTTTTGCTGTTGTATAAAAATATTAATTGATATAAGATTTTAATTTTTGATAACCAACTACATGTTAAATCTTAATAACTTCTTTGAGAATATTAGTTAATTCACTATCAATTTCTAAAAGATCGTTATGCATAAGAGTTTCATATGTTTAAGGATTGACTTTACATTCTGGTCTTTAAAAATGCTTAGACATCATTTCAATTATATGCTAAGTTATAAAAAATAAAAATACTTTCTAATCTTTCTTATTATTCAATCTTGGGCGAACAAGTAAATTTTCTATACTTGGATAACCACACAATTAAACATAGCTCTCAATTTTATCTGCTGCCAAAGGATGCACAATCTTATATATCTAATCTAACTAAGATTATTATTATAAATTTTTATTTTGAGTCAACAACCTATAATTCATTATATTCATTTCATTCCATAATTATTTCACTGTCTATTTTAATGGTAAAGCAGATGCTCTATTTATAAAAATCAAACTAATTTGAAATAACTTTTATTTACGAAATATTTTAGACTAATTTTTAATTCATATTATACCATTGTTATCCAAATAGTTTAATTCTCATAACATTCGATAATCAAATCTTTTAATAGAATAAAAGCCATCTCATAATTACTTTACTTAATAAAAACATTTGCCATAATGAATTTCGGAAGATTAAACCAATTATTTGATTCTTACAATTTTATTAATTCCTATAAACTTTTTTTGTAATTCCTAAAATCAATTCATTTTTTTACTTCATTCTATAGTGAATTAATGATTTGATTAATTTAAAAATTGTGTTGTCATCTAAATTATTGAATTAATCAAGTAATAAATCTAATTAATTAGTATTGTGTAAATAATTGAAAATTAGACTTAAAGGCCAATTGAGATAAAAAATTATATCATTTAAAGGAGGGATATCAGATTTAGATTTTATTTTATTAAGATCCTGAAATTAATTATCTAAACCTTATATTTTTTAAAGAAGTTTTGCAATAAGATTTTATAATAGTTTTGGATTATTAATACTAGTCTAATTATAGAATCTACCAATATTTGGCATTTTAAAATTGGCATCCAATAACCTTAAAACACCACTTATATATGCTCCTTCCCAATGACTTTTTGATAATTGTATACATTATTTGTTTTATTGCAAACCATAATTTTTAAACTAGGATAGTCCCTCACTTGGTTATTCAAATTAACAAACTAAGAGGATTTTTGAAAATATATCATATGTTATATATGTTATCTAATTAAAATACTAATAAAAAATTACTTTATAAATAATGACATCACTTCCAAATATTTTGGAAAAAGTGTCTTTTTCTTAATTCATTATCAAAGATTAAATATAAGCTGAAACTTCTGCCTAAGAAGTTGGGCAAATCCCTAAAACGCAATGAAAACTTGACCATTGATCAAATCCTGATTTAAACATCCCTAATGGTTGCTTTTTACATATTATGCATATATCAGGTAATCCTAAACCTTAAAGTTATCCTAAATTTTATAGATTTATTTTAGACATACCTACAGACCCTATCAGATTTTCTAAAATTCCTTCAGTTGTTGTGTCTCTAAATTCAAACAAACTTCTTACAGTACTTAATTTCATAAAATAATATATAAATATATAATTTGTACAAATTTCGATTAAATTGTTTCTCTAAGAAAAGTCTTCCTTAAAGATTTGCTTAAAAAATTCTCAAACTTAAAATTGAGATTGTTATTAATGATTAAACATCTCATAATTACAGGAATTAATTTCACTTTAAATGTTATTAAATAACTTTCTTTAAGGTTGATCTAAAGTATTATGACTCAATCAAACACAAAATGTAAACTTTTTTTTAAGAAATTCAATGCTCTTATGCTTTTTTTAAACTTAAAGATAAAATGAACAATTTCTATTATAAAAGGAATCAATTCAAAATAATAGAGATATATTTGAGAAATAATTAAAAAAAATTGAACTTGACTACCTAATGAAGTAAGATTTCATATTTGTGATTGAAGCTTAACTCAAAGTAATTATAAATAATCACACTAATCATGAAAAATTAACATGATAAAACTGTTTGATCTAAGTATGTTTAGAACACAGGAGAAAATCAAAAATCTTATACTCATTAAGTTAAACCAAGTTTGATACATAACAAATAATTCTATCTGATAGTTTTTTCAATTTTTATAATTCTCGTGTGAATTCCGAATATACCCATCATAATTTAATTTTTCTATCTGTCTTAAAAGCGCTGCCTCCCTTTATATCTATATTCTTTGCAAAATAAACGATTAAATCAAATTCTAGTTTTCACTAAAACTTTTTTATTTAGTTTCAAGTTCATTAAATTAACTAAAAGTTGGAAATAATATTTTTTGTTCGAAATAATTTTAAAAACGAGATGAATTAATTTCATATCCACAATAATACTCAAAAATTCATTTTTCAAATTAATTTGGAAAAACAGTAATAAAGAGCAAAAGTAAAATTATTATTTTAATCCTTAAAATAAACACACAGGGGACATTAAAGATTTGAATCATAAATTCCTATTTTAAAACTAGTAATTAATTAGAGGTTTTTAATTTAAGAATACCTTTAAAACTAAAAAAAAAAATACTAAACACTTTTCTATCAAAAACATTTAACTTCATTAAAAATTATAAAAATCAATTTAATTTAATTTAATTAATAATTTTATTAAATTTTTTAATTATTTATATGCATGTAAATTCCTAAAATAATTGGAAACTATCATTGCAATTTTATGTATTACCTTAATTTTCATTCAAAAAAATATAAATTTAATTCACTTAAAATTCAAAGTAATGGTTANAATATATAATTTGTACAAATTTCGATTAAATTGTTTCTCTAAGAAAAGTCTTCCTTAAAGATTTGCTTAAAAAATTCTCAAACTTAAAATTGAGATTGTTATTAATGATTAAACATCTCATAATTACAGGAATTAATTTCACTTTAAATGTTATTAAATAACTTTCTTTAAGGTTGATCTAAAGTATTATGACTCAATCAAACACAAAATGTAAACTTTTTTTTAAGAAATTCAATGCTCTTATGCTTTTTTTAAACTTAAAGATAAAATGAACAATTTCTATTATAAAAGGAATCAATTCAAAATAATAGAGATATATTTGAGAAATAATTAAAAAAAATTGAACTTGACTACCTAATGAAGTAAGATTTCATATTTGTGATTGAAGCTTAACTCAAAGTAATTATAAATAATCACACTAATCATGAAAAATTAACATGATAAAACTGTTTGATCTAAGTATGTTTAGAACACAGGAGAAAATCAAAAATCTTATACTCATTAAGTTAAACCAAGTTTGATACATAACAAATAATTCTATCTGATAGTTTTTTCAATTTTTATAATTCTCGTGTGAATTCCGAATATACCCATCATAATTTAATTTTTCTATCTGTCTTAAAAGCGCTGCCTCCCTTTATATCTATATTCTTTGCAAAATAAACGATTAAATCAAATTCTAGTTTTCACTAAAACTTTTTTATTTAGTTTCAAGTTCATTAAATTAACTAAAAGTTGGAAATAATATTTTTTGTTCGAAATAATTTTAAAAACGAGATGAATTAATTTCATATCCACAATAATACTCAAAAATTCATTTTTCAAATTAATTTGGAAAAACAGTAATAAAGAGCAAAAGTAAAATTATTATTTTAATCCTTAAAATAAACACACAGGGGACATTAAAGATTTGAATCATAAATTCCTATTTTAAAACTAGTAATTAATTAGAGGTTTTTAATTTAAGAATACCTTTAAAACTAAAAAAAAAAATACTAAACACTTTTCTATCAAAAACATTTAACTTCATTAAAAATTATAAAAATCAATTTAATTTAATTTAATTAATAATTTTATTAAATTTTTTAATTATTTATATGCATGTAAATTCCTAAAATAATTGGAAACTATCATTGCAATTTTATGTATTACCTTAATTTTCATTCAAAAAAATATAAATTTAATTCACTTAAAATTCAAAGTAATGGTTACATATTTACCATTAAAACATTCCTTTATTTATTAAACAATTTATATATTTCTATTTAATTTTAAATTTAAAAAAATCATATATCTTATATTATGAAAATTTTAGTAAGCATTTCATTTTATAAACTCAAATCTATATATAATTATTATAATATAAAGGACAATAACTTTATATAACTAATTCTTTATTCTAGGAGAGACAGTAAGGGTTTATCTAAAATTGTAAAACAAAGATTTTAAGTGTAAATTATTGTTTAAACACTTCAAATATTATCTCATTAAATAAATATGACTCGCAGTTGTTACAAATTTTTAAAAATATATTTATTAGTTTCGATAAACATAAAAAATTTATGAAAAATTGAAAAAATATTTGTGTTGTTACTAATTTTTTTTATTTATTGTTTATATAGTCTTGAGTTGATCTTAAAATTATAATTAATAAGTAATTTTATAATATATATTCTAAGTAGATAGACCCATTATTATAAAAATAAATTCTTAAAGGATTTTTATTTTGCTTATTTTGATGGAGAGGCACCATTATAATTAATAAAGTATTTATTTAATATTAAAATGGTTTTATTAATTCTTGTTTTTAATTACAATATTAATCTTGATTACATTCTTTTAAGAGAAGCATAATAATATTAAGTATAAGGAAAAAAATAAATGAAAATGTAAAATTAGATAACTGAGAAGAATGGAACATTAATTATCTCTTTCTTGTATGAAATTTTACTTTTAATTGTTCCTTAGAATATTAAATATATGCAGAAAGTTTGTAAGGCTAACATCTTTAATTATTTTGTTTGAGTTGGTGATTTTAAGTTTTTAATTTCATATATAATAAATTATAAATGGAGATTTAAAAAATTAGCAATTAATTGATCTTTTAGTGCGAAGTGATTCGTAAACATTTGCTAATTGATAAACGTTATTAGCTATAGTTATTTGAAAATAAGATCATTATCAGAGAGAATGTATAGTATATAAAATTGATAATCTCATAGTCAGAGCACCCAGCTAAGTATGAAATTGATCTGAATCTAAAAAATCAATTAGATTGGAAACATAGTGATGATCATAAAATAAAAGAGTTTGGGATAAAGTATTTTAATAAAATAAAGTGGTTTACTGGTCAATCTGTTCAAATGCTCTAAATGAAAACATATATATAAACCAAGATTTTTATGTCTGGAATATCAGGGTTTTACTCTTCCCATGATATAATAGGTTCAGGTGCATCTTGCAAGGTAATTCTAATAAAGGATTATATTGCAAATAAGTCTTATGCTGCTAAATGCATTAGCAAAGATTATGTAAAGAAAAAAAGAACTTCAGACAGATTCGATAGGTTAGTAAATGAAATTCAAATTCTAAGAACATTGAAGTCTCATCCTAATATAATTAAGCTAAATGAGATTTTTGAAGGGGAAAATAGTTATTATTTAGTGTTTGATTATTTAGAAGGTGAAAACCTTCATAAATTTATCAAAAACTAATTATATTAAATACCTGAAAATAATGTTCGGACAATTTTACAAGTATTGTTGTCTTATTAAATTTAGTAAATATTGTTAGGCATTCGAAAATGCCATCAACAAAATATTATTCATAGAGATATGAAATTAGAAAATGTTATGCTTTCTAAAGCTAATTCTATTGATAATATTAAAATCATTGATTTTGGTTTAGCTATATTTAATACTCCTGATTATCCATTTGCTGTGTGTGGTACACCTGGATATATTGCACCTGAAATATTAAATTATGAAGTAAATAAATTTAAAACTGACAGATTCATTTATACTCCTCAAATCGATATGTTTGGTATTGGTGTCATGCTCTATAGAATGTAAAATTAATAAAATTATTTAGAATGACTAAATAGCCTCTATTTTCTGCTGAAAAAACTAAAGAATTAATTAATAAAAACTAGAAATGTTTTTATGTCAAACATACCATTTCTTAATATAGCAATATTTTAAATCAAATTTTACATGGATTATTAGAATTCAATCCTAAAAAGAGACTCACAGCAGAATAAGCCTTGGAATTACTTTAAACATAATAGTTTAATTAAATTACATTGAGGAATGAGTCTACCAGAAACATAACTATTAATGATGAATTCTAAATTCCTGTTTACGATGATATTATATAGACTCCATATCTATTTCCTAATCGTAAAATTAAAAAGGAGTTGTACTTCCCACATTCATATCATTTGAATGAAGATAGAATTAATTTAAACGGAAAATCTTACTTACCATCCTTCAGCATTAAACCTAGCTTGGAATATGGAAAAAATAGTTTAATTGATAAATCTCTTAAAGTTCCTAAAGATTTCATTATTGAATAATGATATTGTATTTATAATATCTAGTTTTTAATTATCTTTTGTTAATTTTTTAGTTCTCATATTAATAGCATTGAAAATTAGAAAAAAAAATTAACTTCTCATATTTATAAGCCTTTCTAAAAATAAGAATTAAGCAAAAAGGATTAAGAAACAAAATTTCTATATTTAGATTTAAACTATTTTTATATCTTTTTTTTTGTAATGGTTTTTAATATCATGATTTTTTTTAATGTACCTTAAAATTTTTATTTAAAAATTTACACAGTTTCATTATTTATAATGTTTTCTTGAACTATAAAGAGAATAAATAAAATTTAAAATAAATCTCTTACTGATGACCTCAATTACATAAATAACTTTATACAAATAATTATTTAATCTCTTATCTATTACCAAATTTATTGAAATCCTTATTGAATTCAATTATCAAATATAATTTTATAATTTTTAAATGAATTCTTACATCAACCAACTTTTAAGATGTATTTATTATCGACAAATCTTAAAAGAATTCTAGAAAACATGATTAAAATTAATTAATGGTAAAAGTTAATTACATCTTAAATTACTCTTTATAAAATCATTTATTTTTTAATTAATTTTATACAAAATAATTTAATATAATTGATTAAAGGAAATTGAAATTTCTTCTTAGATGCCTGAATAATTTTATTAATTTATTGAAAGTTTATAATATGTTTTATATAAAAAGAATACAAATATTAAATTATATAAATTGATAATATGTAAAGGAGATTAAATTTATCTAAAAAATGACTATAGTTTTATTCTAAAAAGAGTAGTTTGATTATTGTATATTTAAGATTCAATTTAAAATTAATTAAAAAGGATGTTAATACATAAATATTAATTCAAAAAAATTCTTCTTTTAATTTTTTTTCCCCCCACATATTTATAATGTCAACCTTATAAATAAATAATGAAAAAATACTCTTCTAATTTAGGTTAATATTTTTCTAATCCTTTTATTGTCACCAACTACTTCACTTAAATCTGTTACAGAAGTAGACCATGGATATGCTTTATTTCTTAATAATAACTAAATTAAATTTTTGAATTTTACTTCAATAATTGGAATATTATTTTCTTAAATTGCTAAATAGAGAGGAGTTCTATTCAATATATCGATAGCATCAACATCAGCATGATTTTTAATTAAGAATTCTGTCATGTCATATAATCCCTTTTTACTTGACCAATGAAGAGCTGTCATATTAAAGTAATCGAAATCGAAAACAATATATTTATTCTTATCTAAATATTGCTTAACTTTTTCTAGCTGATTCAATTTAACAGCATGGATAAATTCTTAAGAGTTTGGTTTTTAATATGGTTTTTTAGAGAATATTTACTTTTAGAGCATAATTTTAGTATTGATGTTCATTTCTTTGAGTTTTCTTAAGGCTCTTAATAAGCAACCCTTTAATTCTTTTTTAGATCTTTTAGGAGGTTTAATATCTTCATTTAGTATTTTTTCTTAAAGTTTATCAATATTTTTAGTTGTAATGATGGATGAATTTTCTAGTTAATTTTTTAATCTTTTTGGTGATTTAGTCGAAATAGATAAGCATTCATCTTATTTTTCTGTTTCATTAGGTAGAATATGAGTTTGTGATTCACAATTTAATTCTCTTGATATTATAATTTAATTAGGTCTTAAAGGAGAGACATAAGATGATTTAGATAATGTTGTTCTATTTGTACTTAATGGACTTGAAAGTATTTTAATTCTAAATCGAGGTGAATTATTTTTTGAGATTTAGGTTTCTATTTTGATTGGAGCAATTTTAGAGATAAAATTATCTTTTTTAGATGGTAATTTTATTATTTAACCTTTTTTTTATTTTTCTAGAAAATCTTTAATGGAAAACTTGACTACCGTACCTCAAAAGAGTTAATATTATTATATACTAGTATTAGTTAAATTGGTCATGCTTTGGACTCTCATTTTTTCTAAACATGACTATCTTGATATTGATATAGAATTTACCTACATTCTTATTAGATTTTTTAATAACTTGAAGGATTGGATTTCTTGATAAACATTTAATTTTAAAAGTTAAATAGTAATTATTAAATTAGAAATTATATATAGAGTTAATTAGAATGATTTTTATTGTTCTTTAGGATTAAAGAATATTAAATGTATCTGTTAGGTTGATATGAGAATGAAAAGATTAATAAGATTTATTATAAAATAAAATAGATGTTATAAGGATAATAAGAATATATATATTTGAAGAGATATATGGTTTAATTATTTTAATAAGTTGTATAGATATATAAAATATAATATAATAATTAATGGATGAATATGATGAGGAATAATTTGAGCATTCAGAATGTTTAGATGAAAATAATGAATTTATGAATATAGATTAGGAACAATAATAAGGAGAAGGAGAGTTAGAGTAATGTGAAATTTGTAGTCGAAAATTTCATAATGAGAGAATAGGCAAGCATAGATAAGTGTGTGAGAAAGCATAATAAAAATAAATGGAAAGAGATAAACTGATAAAACGTAAATAATAACAGAAAGCTGAGGCTTAATAGAAGTTGGATGTTAAGGAGAGAGAAGTGAAAAATAAAACAGTTAATAATTGGAGAGAACAACATAAATAATTTTAAGAGATGATTCATGGAAATAAAAAAGAGAAAGAGGTAATGAATAGAATGAATTGATGAGGTTGAAAATGAAGGGAATGAGGGAAGAAGTATAAAGACTCCATAATTGGTAGAAAACTCATAGTATGTGTTTTGTGAATATTGTTAGCGTAGTTTTGATAGATGTATAAATAAAAAGAATTATTTGAAGATGTTGCAGAGAGACATATACCAAAATGCAAAGAAATCAAAGCTAAACCAAAACCACCTAAAAAACATCAATAACAAGAAATGAAAAGAACTACATAATTAAGCACTGCATCTACTACAAATTAGAATGAATATATTGATTAAACTAAGTAATCTTTTCGTGCTTAAAGTTTAATGAAAACTGCTGAAGTTTAGAAAAGATAACTTCCAGAATTAAAGAAAGCTATCTATACAGGCTTTGGTATTATAGAGAATTAAAATAAATTAGGGTTTATGGATTGTTAAACAAGGGCAACTGCATTATCAGATACAGAATGTCCTCATTGTCTTAGAAAATTTAATCCTAAAGCTGCACTTCGTCATATTCCCATTTGTGAAAAATTGATGAGTAAAGAATAATTTAGTAAAAATTATTAATATCAATATAAGAAATGAAATTAAAAAATAAAGCTTAATTAACAAAACCTAAAAAATTAGAAACTGTTTTACCAGCTATAATCAATCAACAACCATAAATAAAAAAGATTCTTAAAGAAACAGATATCTAATTGAAACATTAATCTAAATTTTGTACTTAATGTGGAAATAAGATGTAATTAGGACATAAATATTGTGGAGGATGTGGTCATAAAAGAGAAAATGAATAATGAATATATTTTTATATATAAATGACGCTCTCATTGTTATGGCTAATATAATTGAGAATAAGGTTTTATGCTAAAATTATTTAATTAAAACTAAAGGGGGTCCATTGCATTTTATTCTGAGAACAATGTTTTTTGGATTCAAAATGATCGAATAATCCTATTTTTTTCTAATACATTAATTAGAAAAACAAATGCAATATCTATACAACTACCCTTAATTCATTGATGATTTAGGATTAATCAGTTTAGAGCTGAAAAACGAGTTAATAAAATTCTTAGGGAAATAATCTGTATTAAATTTAGTGTTACAATAGTAGTAATTACTTATGTAGAAAATGAATGTTCTTAATAATTATTTAATCTCAAATGAAACTTAATCAACTATATAGGAATCTAAATTAGACAGCATGATTGTAATCCCTTAAAATGAAGAAAAAATAAATGATAAAAATTTTATTCGTAAAGAATGCTTATAGAGATATAGAGCAAAAAAGAGAATGTGGATGAATAGGACTCTTTATGAATGTAGAAAATAGATAGCAGATAGACGCTTACGTTTTAATGGTTAATTTTTGAATTGTGAGGAAGAGAAAAAAATAATAAAAATTCATAAAATATTAGGGAACCATTACGTAAGGATAAAAAATAATAACATAAAAATAAATGGCATAAAAAAAATAAAGCATTTAGATAAAGAGTAAATATTGGGTAAAATTGATAAGCTAATGCCATACGAGATTAAAAAAAGAATACAAAATAAATAAATACTGTTTAAATTACTTTGATTTATTTTTATTTTTATATTTATGAAAAGTATTGAAATATATGGGTTCATAGGATGGATAGCCTCTTACATAGTGTTTTTCATTTATTTAGCATGGGTATTTTTACCAGAATCAGCATTACATGTAATTAATTGATAGTTACTATATGAAAAGTCATTAGGAATTCATTATTTTCCTTAGAAATATTGGGCTTTAGCAATTCCAAGTTTTTTAGTAGCAACAATTTTGGCAGTAATAACTGGTTATGCAGCATTGAATTATTGTTTTTGTAACAATTTTAATTCTTATGAAAATATTGAAGGTATGAATATAATTAATGATGATTATAGATAAATATACAAGATGGCATAATGTAAAGAAAACAGAACTTCATGAAGGATTACCAGAAGTATATGATATTCCAATAAATGTTGTGAATAATGTATTATATTGGCAGAAGGAGATGATTGAAAAATATATACCTAAACATTAAGATTGAATTGGCATACGAAAACTATTTGAATTTGAGTATTTACATATAATAATTAATTAACAGTTTTTCATGGACCCAAATAAGTAAATCAAATATTCGCATTACTAAATAACAGATGCTGTTAATTTTGGTGGAGTATTAGAACCAGATTAGTGTAAATAATTGGCTTAAAGAATTCTTGCTCTTTATGATGGAAACTCGGATGGAAATATTGATTCATTTGAAGTTGGATATATGTTGAGTGATTGTTATAGAGCGATGAATAAAGGATTCAATCCAACACCTACAGATATAGCTTCATATTCTAGAATTTTAGATAGTATTTAAAATATTAAATGATAGGAAAGGGAACAGGTAGAGTAACTTTAGAAGACATCGAATAATTGTGTTTGAGATTCTTTGGTGCTAAATCGGATAAACAACAACCATCATAATATTGAAATATATATTTAGTTAATCAAGATATCATAACATGTCATTCTGTTTGAACATATGACCAACCATTTACATGATTATGTTCAAATTCTATAAAGTTTTCTAAATCAAAAATATCCCTATCTCCTATACTCTTTATTTTCAGACTATAATCAGGTTTAGGCAATTATAGTTCTCTCCTTAAAACTTAATCCCAATTAATATTTTAAAAATAAGGATGATTCTTTATTTCTTATGAATCTCCTTAACCAGAACCTAAACGACGATTTGCATTTCTCTCTAATAACTTAAAATATCTATATCTCTTACTGATTTTAATAAAATTCTGCATTCTATTGATATAAATTAAGGAATTTGTAAATTTGCATTTTCTATATTATAAAATAATGTATCTTTATCATCTGCATAATAAGGAGGTAATCCTACCAATAATTCATACATTACTACTCCCAATAAATACCAATCTATAGCTTTACCATGACCTTATCTTTTTAACATCTCCGGAGCTAAATAAGCAACAGAACCACAAAATGATTTAGTTCCAATATTGGATCTCTCTATTCCTTCTTTAGATAATCCAAAATCTGTTAATAAAACATGTCCATCTCCATCAACCAATATATTGTCTGGTTTTAAATCACGAAATACTATATCTCTATTATGAAGATCCTCCAATGCCAATATTATTTCACATACATACAGTTTTACTAACTCTTCAGGAAATCTCTTTATTTTACAAAGTAGCATTCCAAGATCACCTCCCGGACAATAATCTAATATCATAAATAATTTATCCTCTGTCTAAAAAGCATATCTTAATCTCACTATAAAGGGATGACACGTTACAGATAATATATTTCTTTCACTCATTGCATATCTACAAATATTTTATTCTTTCATATTTATCATTAAATTACCAAAAAGCATCTTCTTAATAAGTACTTTCATTGCATACAACTTTTTATTTTTTTCCACTAAATAAACTTCTCCAAAACTACCTTTCCCTAATAAACCCAAAACTTAAAATTATTTTGGACCTATCTTATCTTCTCTTTTAGACTATTTTATTGAGTCTAACGTTGAAGGAGTATTCGCATTTCCTTTTTGTTATTTGTTTTAACTACTTTTATCATTATGAATCACTTATTTACTTTCTTTCTTAGTATCTATCAATATATTATTATTATTAGATTATTATTATTATTATTATTTAAATAAATTTATCTTAAGTTTATTTGATTTACTATAATATTCCATATATATATGCTTTATCTAAATTTCTTTCATTTTTTTCTCTATCTTTAATTTCACCCAATTACTTTAATGTTCTAATTAATATTAATTGTATAATTGTAGCATTTCAGAATCATGAATATAATAATCTGGATACTTCTAATCATTATTTGACTTAAATATCACATTTGACAAATTTAATATAATTTTAATAATCTCTTTTCTATTGAATTTACAAGCATAATGTAAAGGCATATTACCATACATGTCTTAATGATTAATTTAGGCTCCAGCATCAATTAATATCTTGAATATTTCTATATTACCACTTTTTTTAATTAAAATAAATAATTTACTGATAACTAGCCAGTATTAACGATGTCATCTTTTCTGAATTTTCAATCTCTATATTAATTTACTTATAAATTAAGGCTTAAACTAGTTAAATATTCTCATTTTTCACTGCTATATGTAATGCAGTATTTAAATTAACATCTTAAACATTTAAATTAGCCTTTAAATCTCCATTTATTGGAATCGAAGGAGAAATGTTTACTAAAATATCATACTAAATAACTTACAAAGCTAATGAACAATAGTAGGTTCTAGTAATTCTAAACAAGCTCCAGTATTGTTGGCTTTACAATATCTTAAAAACTTAAGATTAATCTCTTTTTTCATTTCTTAAATCAAATTAAGACTCTCATTAACAAATTCTTTAAGTTGATTTTAATTATTTATTTCATTTTTAGAAACCTTCTTTTTATTATTGATTTTATTATTTTCGATTCTATGAGAGGATCGCGATCTTTTCAGAGATAATTTATTATGATTCAGAATAGAATTAATCTATGGAGAATATTATGGAGAATATGCTTTAAAATTTGTAGATGTGTTTAAGATAACCCTTTCTTCAGATTTCACCTTTGATTTCTATAATTAAAACATTGCTTGCTTATATCTTTTAATCTTCTCTTAACTCATTTATAATTTGTCAAGGGTTATTTTTATTAATGAAAAACACAAAAAATTCATTTGCAGATTACATTATTGAATAAATTTATTTATTTTGCATATAGATATTAAGATCAATATTATCCAATATTAAATAAAAAGCATTTATTAATTGTTAATATTATATATATCAAGTAAATTATAAAGTATTGTTAATTATTTTCACTCTTATTTTTAGTTTGATTAATTTTAGAATGATTTATTGATAACCATTTATTGCTTGAACAAACTTTATTAAAAGTATATGATTTCGATTGAAAGTAATTAAATAGGAAGTAACTCTGATTAATCAACATTTAAATAGAGAGACTAAAAAATTATGATGATTCTTAACTAATTGACACTCTAAAATATCACATTTCCTAAAATTCTTAATTTTTTGAAATTCTCAGACACAAGAAAAATTGTTCATATAAAAAAGAATGAATCATTACTAAAACAACTATTAAAAATCTAAGAATCTTAATAACAACAGCCAAATACATTGGAAATGACAGAATAAGAAATTATTGTAAAGTAATTAAAGCTTCTATAATTACATAATATTAGTATAGATGATGAAATATTCAAATCTAATTCATTTTTCAATTTTTACTATAAAATGTATGATGCTAGTAAATTTAGCAATTTCAATCATCAAAACATATTAGATTATATTTAGAATTTACTTTAAAATACTCCTAAAATAAATTATATTACAGAAGATTATAGATACTTTATTTATTTTAAAGCTTAAATTATAGCTATTGGAATGGCAATTAGAAATAGAATTCCATTAGTATCTTTATTACTTTGCACAAGATTGTATATGAATAAAAAATAGCAATTATTTTGTTTAGAATTTTCTATATTCAAAGAGATATTTAAAGAACTTTATTCAAAAAGGCAACTTTCAAATTTGAATTATCTTTTAAACATAGATTAATTAATAAATAATGATATATTAAAGTTGACTGAAATGTAAAGTTACAGTGATAAAGTATTTACAGAATATGAGGATATATTGAAGGAGAATAATTTTACTTTGTTCTAACAGAATTTAGATCTAATATATGAAAAGAAACATTATTTAATAAATCAATTAAAAGAAATCATTCATTCATAATAATTTAAGCAATTATATTCTGACTTGAAAAAATTTCATTTATAAATTGAATATGCTGACTAATTTTATTAGACATTAAATAAAATAATTTAATTCTGTAATGGTGCTGAATATCCAATAATGAAATTTAATTCAATTGCTATACCGTAATTTATCAAAAAATACTTTTTCAAAAATCATGAAAGAAAAGAACTTAATTCTTAATAATTAGTAGAATCCTTGTTAACTATAAATAAAGTATTAAGTGAAATGATAAAATATAAATTTCCATTTCCTCCAATTATATCTTACTTAAATCTTAAAGATCCAAATAGTTTAAATATTTTAAATATAACTAAAGAATTTGTTATAGAATGTTAAGAAAATCAAATTTTTCTTTTATTTTTATCATAAGTTCATTATAATTTTTAAACAATTAGCAAATCTAAAATATATTCACGAACGTTTTATAATTAGTAATTATAAAAATAGGATTTTGATTAATGGGAAATAGTAATAAAAATGTTGGAAATAATTGAAGAATATCAATCATTAATGATAAATGATATTGAAATGAGAATTAATGAAGATGATACAAAATCTAATATATAAGCTTATTTAATATATCCTAAAGAGTAGATTATCAATTATTTAGGATAATATGAAAAGATTTCAAAATTATTAAAAAATCTTTTATCATTATAAAATAAGGAATTAATAAATGTAAAATATGATAATGAGAATCTTAAAAATTAACTATAAGAGAAAATAAAGAAAATTATATCATAAGTAGAAAGTGAATCCTATTTAAAAAGAAAACTTGGAAGACCTCCTGGAACTAAAAATATTTAAATGAAAAAGAAGTTTAGATTAGATAAATTAAATGAAATTGATTCCAGTGATTTCAAAATTTAAATTAAGAATAATAATAATTTTTCAACATTAGAATGTTATAATGATGAAGAAGTTATAATTTATAAAAAGAGAAAGATGTATTAAACAGAATAAATGTTAATGTAAGATATTGAAAAATTTTTGGTATGATTTTTTATTTAAAAATTGAAATTATTATATTTTTTCAATATTAATCAATGATTTCTTAAAAACTATAAATGAGTTTTTTTTTAGTAGAATTTCTGAGTTCAATTTTGTTAAGTATTTATTTTTAATAATCTACAATAGGAGTAGGATCTATTTCAGGATAAGATTCATTTAATAATTTATATGTTTTTCTGTTTAATTTGTGAATAATCCTAGCAGCATCTTTATTTTGAAATGATATTTAACTCTATGTTGATTATTTATTTTTATATTTTTATTGATGATGATTCTTATTTCTTGGAAGAGATTGTATTCTTTAAACACTATTTTAAATAAATTCAATATTTTGATTTAGAGGAATTGATTAAGATCTAAATTTCATAAATTCATTTATCCTTTTAATTTAAGGTTAATGGAGATTTTTATCTTAAGATATAAAAGGAGCTAATTCATTAATTTTCGCAAATAAAGTTCCATTTAATTTTGATTGCTTTTTGATTGAATTACAATAGGAAGTATATAATTTTTCTCTGATCATTTGTTAAATTTGATTTTATTTGATTTAGAATTATTATTCAGTTATTATATGCTTATTTAGTTATTTATAATTAATTGAACAATCAATTATATTGTTATGAATCGAATGTTAAGAATTAAGCATTTAGTCTTAAGAAATGCTTTAATAATCAGATATTTTCCGAATGCTATTTTTAAGATCCTAAGTAACAGTTGATTGCCTCTTATTCTTCTAATATAATGTATAATCTCTACGATTTGGAGTTTTCTCTTTAATTAATTTGGAATGATCTTAAAGAATTTGATTTTCTTATTCATTTCTTAAGTCTTAAAGATGCTGGATTTCATAATGAGACTTAACAATAGGTAAGGGAAACAAATTTTAAGGAATATCGTTGAGAGACAATTATTACATAGGTTCTAATTTAATAAAAGTTAATTATAAAATAGTTACTTAAGTAAATAAAAGATCAAGAAATTGTAGATTATAATTTCTCATATAGCATTTTAGCTAAAATTTTAAATATAAAAAAAGTTAATCAATATAAAAGAATAAAAATTATTCAATTATTAACTTATTTCTTCTTCCTCTCATTTTTTATTAAATTTACTTTTTAATCATAAAACGAAACACACCTAAGATTAAAGCAGAGTAAAGGTCATAATTAATTAAATTCGATTCATTATTAAAAATATAATTATCCACTTATAACTTGAGAAAAAAAATGAACGTATTTTTTTTTATATAATTATAGTTGTTATATTAAGTTATTATTTTTTTACAATGTATGTATTTATGTTTTTTATCATTTAAATTACGATTTCAATAACTATCCTTTTTAAAGTTTGATTTATCATTAAAAATTAGAGTGATTGATAAAATAGAGATGACGAATAAATTTTCCATCTAAACTCAAATAAAATAATTATTGTAAATCCTGAAGTTAAAACAATCATAAAAAATAATGGGAATATTATTAGGAATATTAAATAGAAATTTTTGGTTGTATTAAATACTCAAAGGCTTTAAGGTGTATTTCTTGTTCATAATAAAATAAAAAAGATAATTTATCTGTTATTTTTGAAAACCTTCAAATATTTGATTATATAGTTGTGAAATCATAATTGTTTTGAAACTAAAAATACCAGAAATTTAGAAAAAATCTCAAATTACCAATTGAACAATCTAATTTTTAGTTTGATAGTTCATGTTAAAATGAGCATTTTTTTTATTTTTAATACCAAAATATAGGCAAATAGATAATCAGAAAATCTTCATATGGCTTTACAATTAATATTTTCTTACAGTAATTTTTTTAAAACACATTTTATTCATATAAATATGTTTCTAATTGCAATGTGAATGTTGATTATCAATAAGAAAACATTAATAGATGAAAAAAAATCTATTTTAACTGTAAGAGAAATAGATGAGCAGATTAGTAAACTAAAAAAAATTATATTCGACTTTCCAATAATAAATAGAAATTACTTCTTAAAATGATGATAGAAGCAGGTTATTAATTAAGATTACATTTAATAATAATAGTTTTATGGAAATTAGAAATGATTGCAAAAGATAGTTTTATAAATAGATTATCCTCTTATATTAATTCCTACCTTACAAATATTTCTAACTATTTGTCTTCCAACTCTAGATAAAATTATTAATTGAGATTGTATAGTCGAATCCAAGATAATAAAAAAAAAATACACCTAAAGATAGTAATATTGTTCTTTAGATTCCTATTATATAACTTAATTCTATCTAATGTTTTGTAATTAGTAAGATTAAAAAAATTATAGATGTTAATAAAGAAATGATTAATTGTTCTTAATTATAATTAAATATTATCTTAAATCATTTTGGCTTCTAGTGTTTTTATTCATTAAGACATTTCTATAGATTTGTAGTTTAATCCTAACATTTAATAATAATTTTACTTTACACATTCTCCAATCTTTTTTGTATTATTTAAGACATTAAGTCAACTCTAAATTCACTTGTTTACATCCATCTTTATCCATCAATTCAGAAGCATACTTATATCTCTCATCTTTTTCATTTATAGCATCACACATATTTATGACAATTTTAATAATTATAAAAATAACTCAAATTTTACTCCACAATTAACTATCATTAAACAATATTTCATTCAATCATATCATTAATGATTTTATCTTGTTTAATACTTATTCACTATCAATTTAATTTAAATTAAAGGATACTTATTAAATTATAACACTTTTTAATCAATAACTTTGTCTATCGTTAAACTTAGGTTTTTGAATCATTTACTCTATTCTTAACTATTAACATACTGTACTCAATAACTTAAATATATAAATTTTGTCTATAATTGTTTAATATTAAAATATTTTCTTAAAATCTCAGCTATTTTTAATTTTGTTTTTCACATATTGTTGAATCAAAACAAAGGAAATTTTATATCCTAACATTGATGATTTGTTATTTCTGAATTAAAATACATTGTAAATTGTTTAAAAAGTTACGATGCTTGATAGTTTTTATAAATTTATTTATTTCGATCTAATAAAACCTCTTATAGGATTGAATTGAATCATTTCTTCTTTCTTTTAAATAATTTTATTTCTAATGTAGTCTATCTAAATTACTAAACGTAATAAATAAGAATATTTAAATTAAATATTCTATCCTTTTTTATTAGCAATCCAAACCTGTCTTATAAAACTTTAATCATTAATTGAATTAATTATGCATTTCTTTTTTTAATGTATTATTCTTAAAATTCTTAATAATTTTTCAACCAAAAATAATTAAGAATATCATAAAAATAGGCTACAATTAATAGTCTTCTATTAATAAATTTAATTTATTAATTTCATCAAATTTGCAATTAAACATCTTAAAGAATTTTATACCTTTGATTATTCTATTAGTTTAAGTTAGAATTGCAATTGCTAAGAATTTTGAGAAAAATACTATAATTTTTTGACAAAAGTCATAATTTTAGAGAATTCTTAAATAATGTTAGATTATGATAATTTTTTCTCTAAAATGATTGATTGATATTGTAGATTGACAGATTTAGTTTGAGGGTGGAAATAATTAATATATAATCATTTTAATTAAAGTTTTGAATTTTAAATAAATTGCTTTTAAGATATTTCCAAAATACAAAGTGAGTTAAAAATCTTGTATTTTGAAATGTCTGTATATTAGATGAATTTAAATATTAAAAGATTTGACAAATAAATTGTGACTCAATATTTTTAATATTGAAAAAAAAAAAAAAAATTGAGCATTTTAATAATCATTCATCCTATAGTGTTTTTGTTAATTTCTAGTAGAATTTTTTGATATTATCAGCAAATTTAGCAGATTGAATATATTCATCTAACTAAATTGATGGTAAATAATTTAAAGTTACAAATTAGACTATTAATAACTTTTTTATCTTTTCTTCGTTCAATGCATAGAGAGGATGGTAAAAGAATAACTAATTCTATTCATCATATTTTGTAAATTCAAAATTTCCTATAGTGACATTGAGTTGATATCTTTAAAAAAAGTATTCCCTTTATTAAGCTACATTTTTGAGTATTTAAGATAAAGTATTTTCTTATGTGAAAACCTTTTCCAAAGCTCCATAATTCAATTTATAAAATGTTGTTTAAATATTATCAATGTTATCTGGACCTAATTAGAAGTTTGGAGTGGCATAGACATCTATAAAATGTGTAAAATTGAGTAAAGTAGAATTTCCCATAATTTCAATAAAATTGTCTTCTTATGTAATGATATTTCCAAACTCATTAGTAATACATATTGTTGATAATGGTATCATATAGTTTTTATCAATGGCATTGTGAAAGCATTAAAATATTTCAAGCAAAATTTAGTTGATTTCATTCATCAACCCAGCCTCCTCTTAATTTTAGAATAAATTAATCTTCAACGATTGTTAACAAGCTTTTGCCCATTCAAATAAATACTCTAAATTTGAATAGGTAAGATTTTAAGTCACATCATCCATCTATCCTAGGATCAATTCAAGTTGTATCTTAATTGATGATAAAGTTTATGTGATATTGTGTAAATGTATTTTACTTATCTTATCATAAACGTAACTGAAAATAAGACCGATATCATTAGTCTTGCTCATTATTAGTTATTGTTATTTATATAAATTAATCATAACCTAATTCTGAATCCCCCCTTTTTCTATATATTTATGATCTACTACTATTAAGTTTCTAATTCACTTTCACTGATATTTTAACTTTTCCTTTTTAATTATTCAAATCCTAATTTTATTCTTTCTAAAAAAATACTCATATATATGATTGTTATTTATAACCTATCCTTTTAAAAATATTATCTGAAAAATATATTTCTAATTTAAAAAAATACATCAATCGTAAAGAATTATTTGTTATAAATTTGTAACTATTCATCCAAAAGGTTTATGAATTAAACATAAATCTTTTTAAAACAATTTTAAAATTATAATTCCTTCATTAAATACTCAAAAAAAAACTTATAATATAATTATATTAGAAGTGATTAAACTAATATAGAGATCATCAAAAGTTCTTGAGTATAAATATTAATTTCAGTTAAATTTATTTATTTTAATATAAATAAATCATAATATAAATATACGAATGTTTTATGACGATTAGTTGTTTAAAACTATTTGAGAAATACTTAAATTTTTGTTCTTTAAGATACTATAATTTAATTCTGAAAATATTGAAAAATAGAAATTAAATAATAATTCAAAACTTAAAGACCAAGAACAATCAAGAAAATTTGGATAATAAATATTAATCATTTTTATTAAGATATCGTATTTATTGAATGGTATACTTAAATTTTATCATATTGAATTAGAGTGATGTGATAATTAGAAAAATTTTAATATCTAAAAGATGAAATCTAGAATCAAGAAAGAAAAAAAGTTCCAGGAATATATTAATTACTGGCAAAACTGTTATACAAATAAATTGTAAATCTAATAATTAAAAATCATTTAAGAAATTTGTTATTTTGTGATGGTTAAGCACAAGAATATATGAAAAAGGTATTCATCTCTTTTGAATAAGATCTTAATCCCTTTAATGATGATCAATATATAAGAGTAAATATATTTAGTAGAAGTAAACAATAATTTTAGAATTTTAGATAAAATTTATAAAATTGAAAATCAATTAATATTAGTATTAGTATTTATGTAGATATATATTTTATTAAATTTCTTTAGTTAATAATCAAAGGCTTAATGTCAATTTGTTAATCCTAGTTTCAAAAAATATTTGCAAATCGAATTTTTAATATATTGCTCCATTATTCTTTATATCCAAATTATTACATAAATATATTATGGATAACGGAGTTCTAAAATAATTTACTTATCTAAATTTCAAGATGAATTGGCTTAAATCATTAATTAATTATCCAAAACTATAAAATTATTATCTGTTTTAAAGTATAATAAAAAAATTGTATAAATATTATTTTTTAATACAGCCAATACGTATCTTTGAAATCCTTTTAAATATTAGATAATTTATTTATTATAATTTATGATTATTAAAAAGGTTCATATTGATTATGAATTTGATCTATTATAGACTATAAAGTTAGAAAAGATTATTAGTATTTAGAAATAGTCTCATACTTTGATATATTAAATTATAAAAGAATTTAATATTTAGGCTGACTTAACTTTATTTAATTTTTGATATTATATAAAAGAGCAGTTTAAGTAATAATAAATCGTTAACATATAAATTGATTGGGATGAATAGATGAGATTATGAAATTAGAATGGATTGGAACAAATATTAAATTTAAGTCTATAAAATATATGTATATAATAATGATTGTATAACAATAATATATAATAAATTAATATAGAATTATGGGATAGAAGAGTTCAAAGGAGAAGAATTCAGGTTTATCGAATGGATAAATTTCTAATTTTTAAAGCCATATATAAATTACAAAAGATCCTGTAACTGGTAAATTATTAGGTGTACCGAAAGAATGGGCTGATCTGAATGGTCTTAAATTAGATATAGGTAGAATATGGCATAATAATTTAAGACTAAAATAAAACAGTGGAGACTAAGAACTTGCCTAGCTCAGTTTAACCATCGGAGCTACCAGAAGCAATTCTTGATTTAATTAATGAACCTATAATGAGTGCACCTTTTAATGTTCAACATAAAATACATATTGAAATAGATGCAACAGCTTAATTAGGTTTGAAAGGATTACCTGAAGAATGGATTGAGAAATTAAAGAAAGCAGAAATTTAGAAGTCAGATATTGAATAAAATCCATAGGCTATGATATAAATTATTTCAAATTATGAAGAAGGTGTATATAGACAAACTAAATTGACAATGCCAACGAATGATGAATTTATTAAATAAGTGATGGATATCAAATTTATTGAATAAGATCCTTCTTAATTATATAAATTTACTGATTAATTAGGAAAGGGAGCAATGTGTAAAGTTTATAAAGCGACACATAGAAATACAAATGATGAAGTTGCAGTGAGAGTTATGAAAATAGGAAATGATATTCAAAGAATCAAAGTAGAAATAGCATTAATGAAAATGTGTGCAAATCAAAATATTGTTAAATATTATGATTCTTATTTATTTTAATAATGCTTATTCATGGTAGTTGAATATTTAGATGGTGGATGTTTGACAGAAATCATATATTAGAATTTTAAATCTATGAAAGAACCTGAAATTGCTTATATTTGTGGAGAAATTCTAGCAGGACTAAATTATATGCATAAAAAAAAGAAAATTCATAGAGATTTAAAGAGTGATAATATTCTCATGAATAAAAAGGGTGAAATTAAAATTGCTGATTTTGGATTTGCTACTTAATTAACTGCAGAAAGATAACACAGAAAATCTGTTGTTGGAACACCTGCTTGGATGTCACCTGAATTAATTCTTAAATAAGATTATGATGAAAAAGTAGATATATGGAGTGTAGGAATTATTGCTATAGAATTAGCATAAGGTGAACCACCTTATTTAAGAGTACCACCATTAAAAGCTATGTATTCAATTACTGCTAATGATCCTCCAAGATTACCTAATAAATTCTCTAAATAATTCTAAGAATTTATCGAAAAAGTTTTAGATAAAAATTCTAAAACAAGATTAACAGCTGAATAAGCACTATAATTACCCTTCTTTAAAAATAGAAATAAAGAAGGAGTCTTATAAATGATCCTCAATAAAAAAAATATTCCTTTAAATGAATTAATTAAATAAGCTCCAAAATGAATTAAATAAGTTTATAAATAAATTAAAATTAATTATTTTTATGATTGCAGATATTTTACAAAAAAAGGACTATCATTTTATTAAAATTATAGGAAAAGGCGCTTTTGCTAATGTTTATCTTGCTGAAAATAAAAAAAAAGAACTATTTGCTATCAAAGTTATTTCAATAGATCTAGAGGAATCTAAAGAATCAGAAAAATAGCTTTAATATTTTGAATAGGAAATTCACATTTACAAAAACACACAAAATGAAAATTTAGTGTCTTTGATAGAAGAGTTTAGAGAAAACCATACAATCTATTGTGTTTTTGAATATTGTAGCAAGGGAGATTTAAATAATTTCCTTAAAAATTGTACCTTAAATGAGTCTGAAATAAAATCAATATTTATTGAAATATTAAAAGGAATAAAATATTTACATTCAAATAGAATAGTTCACAGAGACTTAAAAATTGATAATATTTTGATTACAGAAAATAATGTTGTAAAAATAGCTGATTTTGGATTTGCAAAGTATTTTACTTAAGGAGATATTTTAACATCTTATTGTGGAACACCTGCAACAATGGCCCCAGAAGTTTTAAAGTAATCAAAGTATTTATTATTAGTTAAGAAAAATATGATTATAAATGCGATATTTGGTCATTAGGTGTGATACTTTATTATATGATATATAGGAAGTATCATTGGAATACTAAAATAAAAAGCTTATAAGATTTATAAAAAGAATTGTAAAACTTTAAAGTATCTTATTTTTTTTTAAATTAAATAGATTATTTTTGATGATAATAGATTTAATTTATCATAATCAGGAAAAGACTTACTATTTAGAATGCTTGAATCAAATTAACAAAAAAGAATTGATTATGATGAATTGTTCTCTCATCCATGGTTGGGAGGAGCTCTAAATGATAATTATAGAATATCAAAGATAGTTATTAAAAAAGGATTTGATAGTAAAATAATTGGAGAAATCGCCTCTAAAATTAGAAAATAAAAAAATGAATTACTAGATATCATTTAAAATCTATAAACTTTATCCAAAAATTAAGATGCTAAATAATTGTTCAATAATCTATATGATATAATTAATAAAGAACACTAAGTAATTTATTATTTAAATTAATAGTTTAATTTATAATGTGAAGGGATAATATATAAATAGCATTCTTAAATTGTTGATTATAAGGTTGAATCATTCTAGACTTTATAGAAAGTTTATGAGAAAATTAAATTTGAGTATCTAGATATATAACCAATTGAACAAAAACTTATGTTGTTTTTAGAAGTTTACCATCTTTCAAATAGTCTTACAATAACTCTATAGTAAAAATATTCTTAGGAAGAGCTTGATAAAATTACATAAAATATCTAAGAATTTGAGATGGATCAAACGAGAGAAGATTTAGATAAATTTTACAAATTAGAAGTACAAGAATTAGATCCAATTCTAAGAAAAAATGTAGAAAACTTTTTCAAAGCTCGTTGCATATTTAATTTTGGAACTGAAATCTAAAGTTAACATTAACCATTTTTATCTTAAATTTCAAAAGAAATTTAATAGAAATATTGAAAAAATAAATCAGATAAAGTTTATTTTATTTTAATTAAAAATTTTATTTATCTATTGAAAGTCTTCAGAATAATTTACGATAAAAAATGACTTAAATAATAAATTCTATTAAAACTAATTATATAAGGTCATTTCTTAATTATATTATAGCGTATTAATTAAGCTCTGATAATTTTCTCTTTTTAAATAATATCATTTGGCATGTATGATTTATAAACTAATCGATAAAAGGAGAAGGTCTTATTAAGTTGATTTACCAAATACATTTCAGCAATTACCAAAAATACTATTAATTAAAATAATTGCATAACAATTAGCAATACTAAAATTAATGTGATATTTGAATCAATTAATTAATTTAAATCCTTGAATATTTAATTGATTTAATACCTTAGCCCATTCTGTAAGTAAAGTCTTAAAAGCTCTTTTAATATAGTCTATACAGGAATTAAAATTCCAAATCTATTTGTTATTGATAAATCCAAATCTATCAATATTTAATAATACGTAATCCTGCACATTAGAAAGGAAATACTAATTAAATGCAATGATTCCATCTTTTAATTTTCCATTAATTAAAGTTTCACAATCACTCTGCTCAGTTTAAGTTAATACTAAAGTTAATATAAATTAGATACAGGTATAATTAAATAAATAACTACAAAGATTACTAAAATAAACTGCTTGGAATCCATTATAAAATTCTCCATAACCAGGATTATTAATAGAAGGAGTTTGCTTGATAGTTTCAATTTGATTTTCAAGCAAACTCTGAACTTATGGAAGGAAATTTGATTAATAATTGTCTTCATTATAGTATCGTTCCTTAACAGATACCAAAAGTAATTAATTATCAGAAAAGTCAGAGATTGTTACGTATCCAATAGTAATGATATTACTAATGTTACTACTTGCTTATTTAAGAGTTAAGAAAAAAGCTAAAGAAGCTCCTGCAGATAATAAAACTAAAATTATGTAGGTTGCATATAATTTAAGAGTTAACTATTTTAGCAATTATCTATCAATAATATTTTTTTCCCTCTTCTTATTCATATTTTATTCTTCTTCTTCATTGATTAAGAGGAAGTTTTATTGCATCTGAAAATTATTTTTAGATGAGAGAGAATTGAATCTTTAATAAACACTTTTTGGTTAAATTCCACTGATTTCTAAATCTTTTGTGATTATGTACTTGAATTAATTTTCAATGAATTTTTATTGTTTAACTATTTTATTTAAATCATTCTTTTAGATCAGTATGAAAATTTTTAAAACAGCTTTAAAAGTTTGACTGATCCAAAAGATTATAATAAGTAATCCAAAAAAACCTATAGCTAAGAGAGAACCTTCAATGCTAAGTATGATTACAACAAAATCAGAAATGGAATCTGATTTGTCCAAAACAACAGTTTATAACTCCATAACAGCATTATTTAGTTAATTATATAATTATGGTATGGTCACAAAACGAATAAACTTAACAATAGGATCTGAAGGACTTATTATTTCTAATAAAGGAGCATCCATCATTGAAATTTAGTGTTCTAACATAATAAACTTTGAGAAGATATCTTTATTATCTAAAGTAAGAGTAGTATTAGCTGCACCTATAATTGATTCATCAGATATTGGAGTAGAATAAAATATATTATCATCAAGAAAAGTTTAAAGTTGATCTAAATCTTGTATTTAAATTTTAAGAAATTCATAACTCTACTAAATTGAAGATAATTGATAACTATAATAAGTTAATTTATCTTTCATTCCTATCTCATTAAAATCAGAATCTTCTCTAAATATTAGGAGATCTAACAATGTATCATAAGTTTCTATCATTGTTGTTTACATTTAAGATAATGCCAATATTCTTTATGATTAAGATATCATAGGGTTGAATTCTAGAAAAGGTTTAAGAAAATATGTCAATAGATTTAAGGTTATAATGGCAACAAACATAATTCTCAAAAACCAAGTTAAATATGCAATCTTTATTAAAAATTTACGAGGTTTATTATTATCTTCCTTTCTATATATATTATCTCCAGCATTTAGTGAGAAATTAAGTGCTCCTTATTACATTTTAAATTATTGTTAGAAAGTATCCCAATTTATCATCTTATTAAATGCTTTACTATCAATTAATAGATCTTTGTCATCATCTAATTCTTAAACTTAAACTTAAACTTGGCCATTCATTTGATAACCTAAATTTCCTTTAGATTATTTATCTTTTATAAGAGGAATCTTAGGAGCAGATTTTATATCTACCGGACTTATTTATTATTTTGTATCACTTTCACTTACCATAGATACAAATTTTGAATTTTCAAATTGATTTGCTAAATTTGTGGCTGATAATTTTGATCCTCTCCCCCCTAAATCTCTTGAAGGTTAAATATTTTTTAAAAACACAGATTATTTACGATTTCCATCCCTTTCTCTAGCTACTCTTTTTATTTTCATTATTTCATTTATTGAAATAATTTTTATAATACCGACTCTTTCATCTTTAATTTTTAGAAATTATATTGTACAATTCACCTTATAAGTACGAGTTTTTTACTCTTATATAAGTTTCTAATAAATTTCTACCAATAATTCATAAAAGTTTCTAAATCATAAGATTAATAAATTACACATCATCTTAACATCTTTTCATTTCTGCTGCTTTTTAAAACATTAACCTAGCTTTTTTTCTAAATTCTCTTTGTTATGTTCCTTATTTGATAAATAATTTTTCCTTTTTCTTAACTTGATCAACAACTTCTTCTTACTTAACTTACTGAAATAATAATAACTATATAATACTTCATCTTATTATTTTTTTAATTAGTACATCTTAGATTTCTAAGTAGTATAATAATCAATAATTTTATCCATATTTTCTGGAATTTTCATTCTAAATTGAATTTATTCACCGCTATTTATTTTACCTTCTAAGATTTTAATTCCTTTAATTTTTTCAATAATTTCATCTCTAGTAGCATTATCTTCACTGAAAGCATCTTTTTCTTTAATTCCCAAAGTTTAAATTTTTTAATAATTATTTTAAAATTAAGTTTCTTTGAGTTGATTAATCTATTCTTCAGCCCTTCTTTCCATTTCTTAATTAAGATTTTAGATTTTATCAAATTATCCTAATTATTTATTAAAATCTTCAAATTCATTTTTATCACTAATTGAACTCATTTAGTGTTATAAGAATTTATCTCTTTCATTTTAGACAACTAATTATTGTTGTTATTATTAGACTTATTAATCAATAGATTATTATGGTAATAAAACTTTAGATCCAAAATCAAGATCTGAATACATACCTTATATAGGTTTTCCTAATGATTATTTGAGTGAAGCAGAACCTAACATATTAACATTGATTCTTGGTTTGCTAGAATTTGATAATTGATTTTCAAGGACATTTTATTGATGAATAATTTTTTAAACAGGTTTTTTTGGATTTTTCATCATTCCAAAAATGGATAGATCTCTTTCTTCATTAATTAAAGGAGCAATTCTAGAATATTAAATTAGTTTAGGAGCAAACAATAGCATGTTAAAAAGAATGAATTCAGAGGAAACTTTTTTAAAAAGACTAGGGTCAAGATTAAGTCCTTAGAGTACATTATTTGTCATTCCATTAATTTCCCAATCATTATTTAGAATCATGTAATCATGTTTTTTTTCATTATCAAAATCAGTAGGTCTAACCATAATAACAAATTATGATAGACCATTTAAATCAACATATAATTTAAGGAATTTCCATGCAGTAAACATAATTCCAGATTTATGAAGACAATAAATCTTTCTTTGAGAATAGAGAGAGCTAGTTCTACCTGTTTGTTTATAATCATTTAAAATTTGAGGATGTACTTTACTATAAACATCAGGCATTAAATTTATAATAGGTAATCTAAAGTTTTAATACATAATTACTTTTTAATTACTTCTTCACTTGAATATCCAAATATTCGAGTAAATTATTTATTTACTTTGAGAATTTAAGATTAAATATCATCACTAGCTTATATAATGCATGCTTTTCTATCAAATATTATCTTCCTGTTTTTTATTTCTATTTTATCATTATCTAAATATCCTGATTTAACACTATTTACATCCTCTTCAGCATTGTGTTCTTACAATTCTTCAGAAAAGATATCATTCTCATTTACTTAAAAACCCTAAAAATTGTCTAGAATTCTATTCTTGATCTTTTTATTCAAAATATAAAGTGTAAACCAGGCATAATAAAATTTCCATTTCTTCTTAAATTCAAGATAATTAGTAATTGTTATCCATAAATGTTTTGTCTCTTCTATTTTTTTAAATTACATTTATAAAAGATTATCCATCTCACTCATATCAATAGTTGTCTATTGAAGATTATTCCAAAATACACAATTCTATTTCAAAATATTCGTTATATTATTTTTTATTGAATCTATCTATTCTTCTACAAATAAAGCATTTTCTATTTCTAATTTACCTTTATAACTGTCGCTATTTTTATGACGTATAAATTTTATTATTTTCCATTTTAATTAATAAGATTTATATCTATCCAATAAAAAGGTAAATCTCTTCTCTAAATCAGACAATATATGCAAAGCAATCTAATGATTATGAAATTTGCTAAACATAAACCTAAACTATTTATTAAATTATTACCTAGCATAAAGTATTTATACACCAATATCATTAGGTCTTTCACCTAAATATGTTTCAATCCAACTTTTTATTAGAAATTTCATAATTATTGCCTTCATTGTAATCCATTCCTCAACTCTCACTTCTTTTCTCTTTTTTGAATCGTATACTTTTTTTTTTTTGCAAAAACATCTTCCTTCTCCTTTTATTACAGGATGTTAACATTCAAAATCCAAATGTCTCTACAGAATTCCTTTGAAATAAGTATCAATTGAAATATCAGTTATAGAAACCTCTAGGAATGCTAAGGTTGTATATATTTATTTATGTAAATCCTCAGGAGTAAGAGAACGAATATCAAATTAAATACTTAGACTTTAAGCATTTCTTAAATTATAACTAAATACTAGCAACAGAAACAGCAAATTAAATACAAAGTAAACGCTAAAGTTTTCAACGCTTGTATCTGAATTCTAACTTCGATGCAATTCATCTATAATTGATGAGAACGTTGTACTAATCATTAATATCAATAGTATAATAAATAATGATCTAGTATATTTAGTACCAAAAGCTAAGAAACCACTCCCTAAAAGAATATTTATTAAAAATAATGTGTAAATTGTAAAGGATATTACCATGAATAACCAAAAAAAAGTGTATATATTAGTGCTTCAATATAATATTCATATTTATACCTAAATACAACTAGAAAAGCTAATACAAAACGGCTCAACTGGTAACAAGTTAAATAAATAACATTTTCTCCATTAAAACAATCTTTTTTATTTTCCCAATTATTTTGAAACAAAGAAGTTAATACAATTATATTTAGTAAACCACATAACAATCCTAAAATAGCCAACAATGTTAAAATTAATCTGACTCCATCAAAATTACATGTTTCCTCTTAATTACATAGACAAAATTCAAAACATGTTATCATGCTAGGAAAAAACATTAACCAAATATAAATATCGCAAAGGAATACAAATAACTATTGTATTAATATATATTTCTTACTTTTCCAATAAACTTTTTTCTTGGCTTGTATTCTGGTCCTAAAATATATATCATTAAATATAGTAGAGTCAAGCCTATAGTAAAGATTAATGCTATTGCAAAGATGAAATACGAAAAGTTAGTGTCTATTCTCAATAAACTGAGGAGATCTACATATTAACAAGCTCTCAAAATTTAATTTAATAAGGTGCTCTCGGTTGAATAGTGTAAGTCTGCTAGGTGCTTATATCAGAATATAAAGATGAGACTTACTAAGCAATATAACTCAAAGCTTAATGAAAAAACGAAACAATCAACATGATAGTAACTTTTGAGAAACCTGATGCTCTTAATTTTAAAAAATCGTTAAACAATTTGAAATTTATTTCTAAGCCTTGTCCTGATCGCTTCTTCTCTAAATATTTGTCTTATTATTATAGAGTAGGAATCTCTGGTTCTGGCTATTATTTCATATTTTTAATATCAAAAATATTATATAACAAAATTTTATATATTTTATATGTTTACACTTTATAATTAAGAATGATGAATTTTCTTTATTAAATTTAATGATAAAATTAAAATTAATGAACAAGAATTCAGAATTGCTAATTTAATAAAAAATCTATAATTTTGTTTGATCTTAAAATACCAAATCATAAAATCTAATTTTAAAATATGATGGAGTATGATCATTCATGTGATCATATGAGTAAGATCAAAAAGTTGACTTTTTCATTTTGTATTTGATAACTTACTAAATTAAAATTTGTAGAATAAAATTAAATTAATATATAATTATAATTTCTAATAGAATATATGTAATCAAAATTCTGAATCCCATTCGGTGTCTTTAGGCTAAGCAAAGACCTTCTTCTATCCCATAGTATCTTTTTATATTTAATCAATAACTAAAATATTTTTTTTCAGTTATTCCTCAATTTACGAATCATTCATTAATTTTTCCTTTTTAGGAATTAATGGAGGTTGGAGTTAATGCGATATCAATTTTTTCTTAAAATTAATAAATTTATTTAATACCCAGTCAAAGTCTGAAAACCACTAATTGTTTTTGAGAGATGAATAAGATCCTCCCAATCTGCATTCAGGAATCTTGTTCATCAATTATTCTATAATGGTCTTAGCTGTTTTATCTGTGATATATTATGGGTAATTTATAGGATTCTTCACAATTTCTTTATAGATTTCAAAGGGATCATCTTAATCTTCTCCAAAGGGTAAACCTCCACAAAGAAATTCATAAAGGCAACATCCAACACTCCATAAATCAGCAAAGTATCCATATCCTTTCCCAGAGATGACTTCTGGAGCCATATAATGAGGAGTTCCGATAATTGTGAAAGTTTTTGGTGGAGCTATTTTTTAGAATGATAGTATTACAAACATTTTTGAGAAATTTAGCAGTTCCCATATCAATCAATTTAAGATAACCAAATTGATCAACCATAATATTTTCAGGTTTGATATCTCTATAAACAATTTGATGGACAGTGTGTAAATATTCCATTTGAAGAATCATTTGGGCAATGTAAAATTGAGAATCGTATTTGCCTAACAATCCAATTTCTCTTATTGCATCAAATAATTCTTCTCCTGGAATATACTCAGTAAGAAAGTAAATGTTTTCACCATCTTTGAATGATCTATAAAATTTAAGTATAAATTAATGGTTCATTATTTCCAAGACAGCTTTTTCTTATTAGACATGTTTTTGGATTCCATATTATTGTATATGTGCTCTGGTAACATATTTGAGAGCAAATAAAGTATCCTGACTTTTATTTTTACAGAGATAAACAGATCCAAATTATCCAGATCCTAATTTATTTAAGAATATAAAATCTTTTAATTATAGCTATTTGACTTAATCATAAGATTATTGATGTTATGAATTGATTTTTTCATTATCTAAGATTTTTTCAACACTTCCATTATTGTTACGATACTTATCATAATCAATGACAGCCACATGTCCTTCAGTTTCCATTTGAAAGCAATGTGAATGTTTAGTATTGGCAAATTCATCATAGAGTGATTCTTCATTCAAGATATTATTATTAATCACATTCTTTTGTTCATCTAATACATTACCCTCTAAAGCGATGTACAAAAACCCAACTTTATCTCCTTTATTGATGATCTTTTATCCTGCAATATATTTTCTATATATAACTCCTTCAAGTAATTTATCTTAAATAAGTGCAGGTACTTTGCCAAATAATTTAGATCTATTTAATGCCCATTTACAAATGTTCTTATAAATAATATATTGAACTTTATCACCCAATATTTATGAGATCATATCTTTACCCAAAGCAACTACTTTGGTATCTTTTTCAATAGCTTTAATGGTCATCATTCTAATTTAATTATCATGTTTTAAAGCAGATTCACCAAAAGAATCTTTAGGATTTAAAGTTGAAATTTAAAGATCTTCCTTATTGAAGACTCCACATTTTCCTTCTACAATGATATAGAATGAACTAGCTTAATCTCCTTCATTTACTATAACTTCATTCTGATTAAACTTTTACAAAATTAATACTCCTGAAATTGCATCTTTTTAATCCTTTGTTAATTAATCTAAAAAATTAATATAATAATTTACTGAAAAACTTAACTTATTCTAATAATTATCTATTTTTTTCTTATTCACTTCTCATAACATTTTCAACACTTTTTCTAAATGTATGTCTATTTATTCCCCATAAAAAACACTCTTCCATAGCAATACATGTTGCTGATCTTGGAGCATTATATAATAATGCTAATTCTCCAAAACCATTTCCTTAACTTAATTATTTTCTAGATATTCCGTCAACTAATACATTTATCTTTCCTTTCTCTAGTATAAAAAAAGAACTAGCTCCATCTCCTTATTTAATTATCATTTATCCAATCACAAGTCTACAATAGAACATACTCTTTGCTAATTGTATTCTTCATAAATTATTAATCATACAATTAAGTTTCATTCATTGATGAAAATACAAAATGAGCTTAAAAACATTTTACTATAAATCCTATATCTTAAGGAGTCTATGGCTTCATAAGAGGTTCGAATGTTTCATAAATTGTTCCTTCATTTGAAACTATTGATTTCTTTATTGCAATATTTCTTTTAGTCACTCGTCTCACCAACTAATTTTGACCTTATTCATTCTTAGGAATAGCCTATTATGTTGGTTTCACCTATTAATGAATTGGTTTTGATAAACTCGATTTTTATATTCCAAATTCTTGTACTGATGATTTTTGGTTCCATTAGTTCTTTTAATCCATATTATTATTATATTTATACATTCATTTAATATACAAACTTAAATAATTTTTAATACCAAATAATAATCTTATTTACTTCATTCATTTACAGATTTTAATATAACTGAAAATGCTACTCTCTCTTAATTCTCAATCTATTCCTAATTCTTGAATATCTCCTACATCTACATACCTAATTCCAATGCTAATTAAGCATTCAATGAAAATTAACAAAAAGGCATCGATTCATCCTCTAATTCTTTTTTTATCTCTAAATATGCCTTTATTTAAATATATACAATTTTACATGATATAAATCCTAAAATAAATTTTTATCAGTTTTGTCACTAAAATTAGAATTTACTAAATCACTTAAATTCTCTTCAATATCCATTCGATTCGGTAACTAATAGTTTTCATCTAGTGAAATCTCAGGTTTTGGTGTAAAATTAAATAAAATTATTTGAGATCGTCTCAATAATACTTGTTTTAATTTCTGTATCTCCTATATCCTATACAAAATGTCATGAATATTTAAATCGTGGTTCACTTAATTTCTTATATAATACACTTCAATATTCGTACATAGCTTTATTCAAAAATTTAGAATCGTTATTGTCAAACAGAAATCCAAAAGTCATCTAATTTAAAATTAATTTCAATGATAAACTTATCTTATTCATCTACTGAAACTATTTTATTATTGCATTCTTCAAATAATTCTTCCTATATTTCTCTTCCCCCAAACTCTCATTTAAATTTAAGTTCTATGAATCATCCGCTGCAGATAATGATGATAACTTTGCATTCTAAACCTAGGTTGGCTTAACCATACTTTATTATGTTATATTATTCCCTTTACTTATTTTAAAATTATATAGTTTATTTGATAAATCTATTTGCACTATCAATTTATTTAAAAATTTTTACTCTGAATTTTATTGTAATAAATAATAAATATCCCTAATCCAGTTATCATTATCTGTAAAAATCCTCCTAAATAAGAAAGTAACTCTCCTATCTATGTAAATCTTCTATTAACTATCTCTGTAAATTAACTCCTTCTTAAATAAATTATTGCATATTTATCATCCGTTTCTCTTCCAATCTCTGTCAAATCTCTATAATCTGCATTCTCTCTCACTATTACTTCCTATTCATGGATATTTCTGGTATTATATTATATTCAAATACTCCAGTGGTAATAATGATTAGTCATTATAAAATTTATATTTCCTATAAAATAAATTTGCTTATCTGGACATCTTCTTTGGAACAAATGTAAAATACATTTCTCCATCCAAATATGAGCTCACATAAGTCTTTGGTTATCCTGGATTTACAACCGAATTAACTTAATAAATTTAAAATTTAAATTATCCTTCCTTTTATAAATGTTTCTGTTTCACTTAATCTGAAGCACAAATCGGATTCCACCCTGTTTCACTCTCATTTCTTTACACACAATCATTTACAACTATTTTTATAAAATTAAATTCTTAGCTTGTATATGTACCACTAAGTTTGAATTGAAAATCCTTTCTTAATTTATTCAATAAACTTACTTAAGACATAACCAATTTGATAAATCTAGTTGATTGAATTGTTCTTAAAAATTTACGTCCGATTCATTTAATAAAAGGTCGAAATGTGATAGAGTGCAAGGTTCCAATTGAATATAATTTATATTCTTTGTTAACTTTCCATCAATATCGCGAATATATTATCTGAATCAATATAATAATACCTTTGCTCGATAGAGATGTTAAAGTATGGATTTATTACATAAGCTACTTATTCTATCGAAAATGCTGCCATATAATTTTAAGATGATAAAATCATCTCATCTGGATTTTCTGAAAATTTTCTCTCCACAGAGAAGATAATCTCTGTTTAATTTAAGAAATCCATCACATTTGAAAAAAAAAATGCAATCAAAATCGCAATTATTAATATTGATGAAATTCCGCCGAAAATTGTTTTGTAGTTTGATTCTTTATTGATATTTAATGCGATTGTCTGTCCAAATATATCTAGTTATTGTATAGCTTATAAATATGTGAAATCATTTACTTGAATAAAATTTCTTCATTTTAAAAAAATCAAATTGAACACTATTATAATTACTTAATGATTTTATATAAAAATGATCACCTAGTTCTATTTATTATATTTACTTTTACTTATATAATGATATTTAATTACTTTAAATTAAAATAAATAATGCAAAATTATTCAGATTAAATCCTCTTGTCCCTTTTGAAACTTGGAAATAAAATGGATTCAATTATGATAATTAAACGTTATGGTTATGGAATCATCAATTAACAGAACTTTCTATTTATGATACGAGAGATCAATAATTAAATCCCTCTAAAAGAAATTGAAAATTTTTATTAATCCATCCTAAAATAATATGAAGCATAAGCAATGTCAGCTTATATCTTAAATGAATTACTACGCTAAGCAAGTTAGATATAAGCAAAATATTAGTAGAATTTTCAACCAAGAAGTCCAAATGAGATTTTTTATTTAATTTCAAAATCTCTTTAAGTTAAGAATTAAGATATAGACAGGATTTTTATTATTTTTGACTAAGATAAGGATAATTTATTAAATGAAATAGAGTTTAAAGTCTTTTTGGAATATTATGTACCAACTCTTACTCAGGATGAATATGCCAAATTGAGAAATTAATATTCTTCTTAAATGGTTTCGCTTTACAATTTAATGTCATGGATGTAAGAAAGTAGTTCAATCAGAAACAGTATAAAAGTTTTTCATAAACCCTAAAAAGATATTCAATAATAATAAATAGAAAAAAAAAGAGAAATAATTCCAAATTTTTAAGAACGATATAAGGAGACAACTCCAGTAAATAAACCAAGAATACCTTAGAAACCTGAATAGATATATCCTAGAATAGAAACACCATAAAAATAATAGGAAAATCCGCAGAAATAATAAATCTAAAATGAATATTAGAAAAAATATTCTCAATAGTAATAATAATAATAAATTGTTCCTTCATTAGAAATTCCTTAAAGATAAATTAATCCTATTTTAGAATCAATTTTATATGAAGATCCAGCATAAGCAAATCTTTTGAAATCTGATATACAATTTGAAAAATACATAGTTTTAGATCAGAACTTACCTGGAATTTCAGATTTTCTAAAAAAGTTTAATGAATTATTTAGATAGAAATAAATATTCACTGATACAGAATTTCCAGCTAATGTTTAAAGCTTAGGTTCAAAACTAACATAATTTTAATGGAAGCGATTAAAGGATATATGGCCAACATATGAAATTTTTGTTAAAGATATAACCTAATCTAGATTTGGCTTAGGTAAATGGATTAGTCCAAAAGATATTTGTTAAGGATAGTTAGGTGATTGCTATTTTTTATCTGTTTTAAGTTCAATGGCATGTAGATGGTAAAAAAATAAATTAATTTTAGGCCTGACTTTCTATTAGGTTTATTTTTAACATAATAAAAAAATTAATATGGAATTTATGCAGTTAGATTATGTATAGATGGTATTTGGAAGGCTATATTTCTTGATGATTATGTTCCAACTTAAGGAAATTAACCTGCTTTTTCATCTAGTCCTTTAAAAGAAATCTGGGTTTTATTAATGGAAAAAGCTTGGGCTAAATCTTTTGGATCTTATTCAAATATTATATCAGGACACTCAAAAGAAGTAATTCATAGTTTAACAGGTGGACCCACTTGGAGTTTGAAAACAAATTAGCCAGATTTTAAAGAATAGTTTATAGGAAATGTTTAAAGAAAATGTTTAATGACAACAGGAACATTTTCTCAGACAAATAATTCAGAAGTTATGGGTTTAATAGCTGATCATGCTTATTCTATATTAAAAATTAGAGTTGTTCAACATCCTTTAAAAGGAGAAGTTACTTTAATAAAACTCAGAAATCCTTGGGGTAAAAAAGAATGGTAAGGAGAATGGTGTGATGATAGTTCATCATGGACTAAAGAATTAAAAAAGTAATTAAGAGTTTCTGAAAAAGCTGAGGATGGAATCTTTTATATGTCTTTCTAAGATTTTGTTCGTTATTTTAATACAATATATGTAGGATATTTTTAACAAAATTACATATATAAATCTTAAACCATTGTGAGTAAAAAAAATAAATCTATTTATTTCGTTTTTAACATAGATGTACCAGGTTAATATTATTTTACTGCTCAATAAAAATCATAAAGACATTTTAAAGATAAATATACAAACTATGAATATTCTCCTATTAGAATGATGCTTGCTTAGGTAACTAAAAAAGGCTATGAATTAGAATACGCAAAATAAGATAAGGATTAATTAGTCTATGTTGGAGAATTATTTGATAAAGGTCAATATATGCTATAAGTCAAAATTAATTGGTTATTTTTGGAAGAAGAAAAATTTGTAATTAGTTCCTATGGACCAAAAGAAATAAAATTAAAATAGATTTAAAAAGATCAAAATTTCTTTACAGGAACTCTTTTAAATTTAGCAAAATAAAACCCTAAAAAAGAAAAAAGTGGATGTCCTAATCTTGAAATTACTTCTGAACTTTCATTAGAATATGGGTATTCATATTATTTATTTTAGAGCTGGTTATGAATATTATCTAAATACTGGTAATGATATAATAGAAGTATCAAGCTCAATTCCAAAGATGATTGGCATTAAATTAAAAAAACCTGAAAGAGGAAATTAATATAAATTTTCATTAAACCCTAATTCTGAAAAGCTAATTACATTTACTATTTAAGCAGAAGGATTTCAGTTTTAATAATCACGATAATATAGAATAACAAGAAAATGAAGTTTTAATTCATTTTAGAAAATTTATATTTTTACTTTTTAAAGATATCTAAATTATATTATAATTTATTTTATGAATTCTATATGATTACTATTATCAAATATTCATTCTTTGTATTCTCTTGTTATTAATCCTCTCTTCTCCAATTCTTCAAATAAAAATAGCCTAACCACTATATCTTCAGGTAATTCAAATAATTTTGGAGGTTGCCAAAATAGAGCCACTCCCTTTTTACCTTTTCTTTCTCTTTCTTCTTTTATTGCATTTCTAAATGTGATAAAATTTTTATTCCATTTTTCAAAAACATGATTTAGTAATTTCTTGGTCATTTGATGCAAAAAAGAACTAGAATAATAATAATATATTAATTTTACGCATCATACAAAAGAAAATGTATTGGATCTCTTTTATTTTTAACTGAATCACTCTATTTACTATATCTTAGAGCTATTTAGTAAAGCTACTTATACTAAACACTCAAGAAAAGTTTAAGATTGCTCATAAATTCAATTCTACTAATCTTGTGCTTCACTAATCGATTCACGCATTTCTTTACTTCATATTTTTTTTCGCATTACTTAAATTGACAACATGAGTGCCTTTGCTCTCAGTAATAAAACAAGTTATATTGCTTTACAAAACTTGTGTAATTATCTTTTATGCTCTTCTTTTTGCTACAATTCTTGAATTATTTGCTATCAATTGTAAACAACTAATAAAAATTTAATAATTTTTACCATTTTCCTTATAATATTGTTCTTAATTTACAATTAGGACCAAATTTCTCTACTCTTTTTTTAATTTTATTAAGTAGTTACACTAAATATATTTATTTTTTCATATTTTTAGCAGCGATTTTTCTTTGATTTTCAATAAATTCATTTATTCCAGGAGCTAAAATATTGATTAAACAAACAATTTTAAGCCAAGACTTTTAAACATACTCTCTATGTTTTATTTCTCTTTGCATTTCTAACTATTTTCTATGAATTTATTTGGCTATGTCATGAACTTATAATTAAGCAACTCTTTTTAGACTTTGCTCAACTTTCATTCTTCTTATTTTTTATTTAATTTCTAAATGTTTTGGAGTAGGAGGCTATTCTGGAATTCTACGTGAAATTTAAGAACATTTATTTAATTCTACATAATTTTATTAATTTGCATAACGAAGCCTTCTTCTAATCATAATTTCTTCTATTTGTTATTCTAAATCAGGAGGAAATTCATGTGTAGATTTTTCTTTTCTTTCTCTTTAAACAACTTTTCTAGTTGTTGGTCTCCCAAATTCAATATTGATACCAATAGATAGTTCATTTAATGCAAAAATAGCAACATATAAGATTTCCTCTTAAAACATTTCAGAATTAGAGGCATATTTTAATTATCTCCCACTAACTTCTACAGCAGCATTAAATCGATTAGGTTAGATGAATTTTGGTGATGCAAATATTCTTATTCTAGTATTTGGATCACCTTATTAAATTCTTATTTGTAGAGTTAAAGGAGAATACCTATCTTTTATTCGTAAAGAAGTATAAAAGAATTAATTTCTTCTTAAGAAAACATGAGACTCTTATTCTTCATCTAATTGCTATACTTTGAAACCTAATTTTTATTCACTAAACTTCCTTTATAAAATTTCTTATTTGATGTCATATTTAACACTTAATTGATGTTATGAATTTCTTTAAGTAAAAGAGTCTAGTAAGTTAAACTTAGTTTGTAGTTTGTTCTTTTCTTCATTTAGAATATTAGATTCTGGTTCGATATTAGCATGTTTGATATGTTTGACTATCTATCTATTATTTTTAATATGGGTTCGATCAGTTTATGCTCCAATTGGATCTACCATACTTGAAGTAGGCTCAGTACAATACTCTAATTAGGAAAAGCGATGTGTGCTGGCTTCTGTTTAAGGTAAAAGAAAGGGTTTAAGTGATTGTCGAGTGTGCTAATTGAGTCCTTTGGATTAGTAGTATGTGTTTTCATACTAATTGTCCTGTTACATTTATTAATTAATATTAATTCGAAAAGGAAAAATCAATAAACTATTTATTGAATAAATTAATTAAATGTTATTGACTTAGTGGATTTTAAATTAGATTTTTAATCAAAACAAACTTTGAAAATTACCAAGATTTATAAATTGTATTTGAAGTGAAAATTTCAGAATCATATGAATCATAAAACTGATATCTCAATATTACTTTATAACATTTAAAAATAATTCTTAATCAATTTACAATCAATAGAGTTAATGTATAACAATATATTAATCAAAAATGAATTAATCAAATCTCTTGTACCAACAAAACAATTTTTCTCCAATACAAGAGTTATAAGCCATAAATGAATTGGAGTACGAATAAGAATACTTGAATACTGGTTTAAGAGGGACATTCAACAGTCCAAACTTTGTGATAAAGTCGCAATTAGACACTCGCAGGACAAATGAGGTTGATTACTATTCTAAATAGGCCTTACTTCCAGAATGGACAAAAAGAGCTTAGCGTACTGGTGTTAGTTTGATGGCATTCTTCTTTGTGAAACGGTTTGTATAAAAAATACGTAGTCATCGATAAAAATTACAAAATATAAACGAAAACCATCTTTAGTTGATTGATGATCAGGGATCTGATAAGTAAATAAACAAACAACCTTAGTTAGGTCATGCTAACTTAAATGAAATTTGCAAGTCCAGTATTTTAAATTCGTAATGTCTCTCGACTTTTTCGGTAGCACACATTAGTGAAACCTGACAATCCTGTCTATGTATCGATAAAAGAGAAGTACTAAATGTTAAGGAAATACGGTTATGAAAAACTATCAAAGATTCCTCAGTTCCATCCTGAAAGTCCTAAGAAGCTAATGTGGGACTACTTTATAACTTTAATTAGATTGATATTATTGGTATTAATACCTCTTGAGATTGCTTATGCTCCTGGTGTTTTATTTGAATAAATTCTACCACTCACTACTTTACTCTCATCTTTATTACTTTTTGATGTAATAATAAGATTAAATACAATATGTTATGTAAAAGGACATGCTGTCTTAGATCGCTTCGAAATAGTTAGGCAATAAATATTAAGCGTAATATTTGTAGATGTATTAACTCTAATTCCCCTTTTTTATTATTGTATTTAGAAGTAAGAATAAATATCAAATTACTATCTAATAATCTTGCTTACTTCCTTAATGCAATTCAAGCATATTAGTGAAGTAATTTAAAAAAGCGAGGAATCACAATATTTCAGTAAATCCTAGAAAGGGATCATCAGCCTATTGAAGCTTATTTTAACTCTCATGTATATATTACATATGTTTTCATGCATTTGGTATTTCAATTCTAAGTTGAGTCTCGAAGACTCTTGGATTCAATTCAAATATTTAGATTAACAAACATGGCAAGTTCAATATTTAGAAGCCTTCTATTTTGCAATTGTTACTATGCTTACTATTGGATACGGAGATAATGTACCTAAAAGTTACAATGAAAAGATAGTAGCAATCTTTTTCATAATGGGAGCATGTTTGTGGTTTAGTTACAGTGTCAATACTATTGGTATCATTATTAAAGAAATCAATCAAAATATGGTTGAAAGGATTAAGAAAATTAGAGTCATTAATAGATATATGCATAAAAGAAATATTCCTTATGGATTATAATACAGGTAATTACATCTTAATAGATTTTAGAATTAGAGAGTATCTAAACTTTAGATGGAAAGAAGAAGCTGAAATAGATCTTTAATAAGAAGAATAACTCTTGGCTGAATTATCAGAAGAATTGAAGTAGGAGTTAAGGCAATAATCAAATAGTGTATTTTTTAGTCATTGCTCCTTTTTATCCAGTAATTTTAGCCTAGAATTTTAGAATGCCTTATCTTGTCACATTACTCGTACAATTATACAACCATAAAACACCTTTTCCATCTTTACTCTAGGCAATTTTAAGTAACCACATCTCTGCTTTGTTGAATAAGGCCAATTATAATATCTTAACAGACATCGTCACTCACTTAAAGGAATTCAATGCTAAGGATAATTCCTCTAAGTTTAAGATTTTGTCTCTGAAAATGAAAACACTCAAATTTTCTAAGCTATTGGTTATGTTAGTCTTTTAACTCTTAGTAAAGTATTTCAGATGTTTATTATTAGATCGATTTTCTTTCAGTGTTAAACAACTTTCCAAAAGATTATTAGTATTATTGTTAACTTAAAGACAATATCAAATTGAGTATTTAAAAGAAATAATTACCTTACGGAGTCTATTGTGCAGCTTGTAAACTATCTGATCATGATCTCATTGGATGTCCTTAACTCAAACTCACAATAGATCGAGAAGTTGTAATCAAAAGGCATTTGTACTCTAAGCCTCAAGATAGAAATGAATACAAAAGATCATAAAAAAGAAGTAAAGATCTCTTTCAAACATTAACTGATTTAGAAATCATAGAATAATTTGCACTCTATTTTTAGAACGAAAAATAAAAATTAATCAAATCATAATTGCAACAATAGTTAGTATTTGAATAAGAAGCTGATGAAAATCCTATAAAATCTGATGAAAATATTTCTGGTCGTCCTAACTATGATCAATAATAAATTCTTTTAAGAAAATAAGATTCAATTCTACTTTCATAAAATTTTTCTTCTTCTAACAATTTACCACCCTAACCTATTAGTCCAATTAACAGTATGGTTCATTCTCAAAATAATCGGCGAAAATAAGGAATAATGGATTCTTAAAGCTCCTATGATTATAATCTTTCAGTCAAAAGAGGTTAAAATCAATATGATTTTGATCTTAAACCTCCTCCCTTTAATAAGTATACAACTGCAAAATTATCAATGTATAAAAAGAATTATTTGAGCAAATATTAATAATAATAACCTTAAGAGTCTTAATTAGATGTTGAATAAAATTAGTAAACAGATTTTAATGAAATGATGCAACAGTAAATTGAATAACTCTATTTAAAAATGAGAAAATCAACTATTAATGAATAACTTGATAATTTTAAGTCTATTTTAGATATTGAAATGCTTTATCTCAAATTTAAATCAGAATAGGGATTGGATTAATTTGAAATAGTTAAGAATTATGATTTATATATGGTAAGTCATAATATCAATAAGGTTTTACAAGAATTAAGAAACAGATCTATTAGCCAATTTAATTATATGAATAAACTTATTTACTATATGTATTACCCATTTGAGTATGTTATGAAATTTTAAAAACTTTAACAAAGAGAACGATCACTAAAAATAATTAAAAATCCTCCTCGTAAGCCAGGTCTATCAATATCCAAAATTGTTGAGCTTAAAAATGTATTTTAAAGAAAACGTTTTACTCCTAGAAGAAGTATTAAAATTAATTAAGTAAATCCTGATGCTGAAGCATGACCTTAATTCAATAAATCAATAATTTTATCAAATTTTAATACTAAAAAAAGAATAATTTAGTTTATTTTCACAATATTTTTTTAATAAGAAATTTGAATATTAAATTAAATCTTTCATTTTTGTAAAGATTAGATTAAATCTTGCTATTCTTAATTATTAATTATTAATTAATATTCCATCTTTTTTTTTTGAGTATGCTAAGCTTTTACATAATCAGAAAAAACAGATTAAATATCACTACCTAAGTCTTGGCTAAGCTTCTGATTTAATTCGACCTGACAAGTATTTTATGTTTAATCACATTTCATATCTAGCCATGCCTTAGAAAATAAAATAAAAATTATACACTAAAAAGATCTTTTATTATTAATTCTTTATTTAATATTTACTTATCATCTTCAAGTTATTACTCTATTAAAAGTCTACTAGGAAGTTATTCTTCATCTTCTAAAGTGAGATTAGGTTTTTAAGTAAAATTAAAGAGTATAATTTACTATTTTTTTAGCAATAATGATTTTAATTTATTAATTTCTTACAATTAATATAAGATTTCTTAAATATCTAAACTTTAATCAACCCGTTCCCTAAAATATTAATTAATTAATTACATTGCTTTTTAAAAAATTTAAGTTTCATTATCATTTAATAAATACCCAAATGATAAATGATTTATTAAAGATTTTGATGTTAATTTTATTTTTTTAGATTTTTCAAATAAATTTAAGATTGATTCAGTCATACTTATTTCATCTTTTTGGTTCATTAATGTATTATCTTTTTTTGCTTGCTGAACTGATTTAATTTCAATTTTAGATTCATTCAAAATTGAAGTGTTAACAGTTTATTTAACAGATTATTTGAATGTAGCATTTTTATTTAGACTTTTAGAGAAGTTATACAATTTATTTGATAATTCAATTTATACTAAATAATAATAAAACAAAGATTTACATGATAATTTATTATAATACATAATAAATATTCCGAATCCTGTAATCATTATTTATAAAAATCCTCCTAAAAATGACAATAATTCATCAAATTTCATAAATCTTCTTTAAATAAATTCTGAAAATTAGCTTCTTCTAAGATAAACAATAGCATAATTTTAATCAGTATTTCTTCCAAGTTCTGTTAAATCTCTATAATCTACACTCTATCTAACAATTAATTCTTTCTCATCTATTGATCTAAAAATATGTATTGAACATACTTAAAAAATGGCATTAAGGAATTATCATTTTAGAAATAATATTTTCTATAATATAAATTTGTTTGCCTAGATAACTTTTGTGGAACAAAAGTAAAATACATTTCACCATCAAGGTAAGATTAATAATATTGTTCAGAAGCTTTTGGGTTAACAACAGAGTTAACTTAATAAATTTATAATTTAAATTATCCTTCTTTATTTAAATGTAGATCTTTTTAAGATTTAGAAGCGCAAGTAGGTTACCAATTTAGATATCCACTTTAAGAGTCATCACAATCACTAACAATAACTCTAATAAAATCAAATTCTTCACTTGTATATGTTCCTTCCATATAAAATTAAAAATCCTTTCTAAAAATATTATAGAATTATTACTATGGACACAGCCATTTGTTTAATTCAAGTTAATTAAATTGCATTTGAAAATCTGAATAATTCTAATTTGAAAGGAATTCAAAATGTTCTAATGTACATGGTTCCAATTATAAATAGTTATTTTATTTTACTAAACTCCCTAATGCATTTCTATAGTAGTGTCTATATATAAAATATTTTTAACCTTTGTTCTATTGTTATATTGAACATAGGATTATTTACAAAATCATCTTGTTCAATTGAAAATGCTACCATATAATTTTAGATGTTCATTGTAATTTAATCAGGATTTGGATTGAATTCAGTTTTTGAAGAAAAACTTACAGCTGATTTTTCGAAAAAATCCACTATGTTAGTTTAAAATATGGCAATCAAAATAAAGATTAAGCAAATAGAGGATATACCACCAAAAACTGTTTTATAAGTATTCTGTTTGTTAATATTTAACGTTATTGACTATCCGAAAATATCCAAGCTTTTGATTACTTTAATTAAATAATTTCTTTACTTTAAAAAATCAAAGGTATTTTATGAAGGGAACTTTGCATAAAAATATCAATTTAATTTAAAATTATTTGACACAAATATATATTAAAAAACATATCTAAGAGAAATCAATTTATATTAATTTATATACATTCCAGCCATTTAAAGAGATTGCTAATTAAAAATACTTTTTTCAAGTTGACTTTTATCATTAAATGTGGTCTCAAAAATCAATTAATTAATCTCACAATGATAATTAAGTTTAGATCTGCTTGATAGGTGTTTATATAAAATTTAAATTTTAAGAAGTTATCTCGTATTAAAAAAATTTATTGAATTTCTTTACCTATCACTTGATTTAGTTTTCTACTTTGTTCTTAATTATTAAAATTTTAATTTTTATCAAATTTTATTTCTAACTTAACCTTTTATAAAATAATGAATAAATCAAAATATTATCTTATGTTTTTTGTCTTAATTAACTCTATTTCTATTTCTCTTGCAAATTTAATTTTAATTCAATTTAACTTGATTTAGATGTTATTCTTAATTTTTAATCATTAAACTTAGTCTTGGGGTTAAATTAAATAATATTACTTAATCCTCTTAATCAGCATCAATAATTTTTATTTTAATAATTAAGATAAAATTTCTAGTATATCCAAATTTTAATAAAGCAATACTGTATTTTATAATTATTTATATCCGTTAATCATACGTATATATTTATCTTTTTTTAAAAGTTTCGTTCCATTATTATTAAAAAAGAATTTAAAAAGTTGAATGATTTATTAATTATTTTGAAAGATAAAGTTCACCTTTAAGATTGCTCAAATAATTTAAAAAGAAATAAGAAATCCTTTATTTTTTTATATCAAAATGTCTTTTATATTTTATTTTTTTTAAATATTTAAGGATTGGCTATAGAATAAAATAAACGACTCCTTCGAGAATAGTTTCATTGGAACTCTAAAAAATATGGAAATCTTACTTAATAAACATCATATTTATTTTTCCAGGGTGCTTCTACAATAGTAGTTTACAATTATAAGAGGAATAAAAATTAATAATAAAATAAAAGAGGATCAAAATTCCGGAATGATTTTACAAAATATTAAGATACTTACAATGGAAACTGTATTGATTTTCATTGTTAATGTTATTACTTAATTTTACACCGAAGATAAAACTGAAAGTAAATCTAATTTATAAATATTTGATCTAACAATATTATGGAAAGCTTAAAGGTTATAAAGTTATGATGAGTTTATTGTTTTATAGAGCAGTCAACCAAAGATTTACAACATTATCATCAAATATTATTTAATATTGAACTCAGAATATAATTTATAAGAAAGTTTATCAAAAGCAAATTATCCAATTCTCTTTGTGATTAATTAAAAATTTCTTAAATCCTAATTATAAAGCAATTTTTGATGTAATTTTTAATTTTAATGTGAAAATAATGCATACATAAAATGATAGTTAAATTTATATAAATTATATTAGTGTAAGTTTTATACACTCACCTAATACGATCACTTCAAAAGAAATAACAAACATATATAGAGTTAAGAAATATTGTCATAACTGCCGAATAATGAATAAATAAGAAGATTAAAAAAAGAAATTAAAGACTTTTAAAAAATTTGAATTATTTTGGTTGATCCTCTTAAACTATTGCAAATATTTTATATGTATAGTATTTGAATCCCACATTTGATAGTTTAATGAGAAATCAAAAATTATTTTAAACATGATGCAAAATTATCATTAAATTATTATTACATTTATTTAGCTGGTTTGTTATTGTAAATTACTATATTTTTATAAATGATTGATAGTATGACTAATAAGACATCAAACTTTCTTCTTTAAAATAACAGAACTGCACTCTGGACACCATGTACTAAACCTACAGATTCAAATTTTAGTGGCAGTTTTCATGTTTCCTAAAAATTAGGAGTTTTTAGAGAAGCTACTCTAAATTTGTAAGGCCAAAATCTCTACAAATGTAGAAATCTTGTAATAAATGAATGTTATATGATAGAAATGGAAGGTTTGTGATATAGGAAATTGTTCGTTGGAAATAGTGAAGCACAACATTTTTGGGGAAGGTTGTAGATTAGGTTTTGGATAAAACTATATCGATATCTTTGGTAGAATAGAAAACCTATTGGATAAACTCAAAAAGCAATGTATTTAAACTAATTTCACTCAAAAATACTCCATTCTAAAATTAATTGGATAAGGTACTTATGGAAAGGTATATGTATAATTTATATAAGTTAGGTTTATAGAGTAAAAAATAAAACTAATTAAATAGAGTTTGCTGTAAAGACTTTTGAAAAATCTTTGCTAATTCAACCAAGTGATAAAAGTGCTTTAATTAAGGAACTAGATATAGCTCGTCTATTTGAACATTAAAACTTGATGTAATTTTATGAAGCCTTTGAATCTGAGTAATTTATTTTTATAGTTTTTGAATTGTTGTTGGGAGGCAATTTGCGATAAGAAATAAAAAAATAAAAGGTAAGTGAGAAAAAAGCTTTTAACAATATACGATAAATACTTATTGCAATAGAGCATATGCATAGTCTTGGCATTTTACATAGAGATATAAAACCAGAAAATATAATGTTTAGAAATTCAGAAGAGCTAGTATTAACAGATTTTGGTTTAGCAGATTTTTATAGAAAAGATGGTTAATACCTATTTACTAATTGTGGAACTCCTGGCTATTGTGCTCCTGAATTATTATAGAATAAATTATATGACTATAAAGTGGATATCTATAGTGTTGGAATTGTACTCTACTAAATGTTGACAGGAGAAAATCCTTATAATTCAGAAGATCATAATTAAAGAGTGAAACTAAATAAATAAGGGTTTATTGATTGGAGTTTAGTTAATATAAGTGATGATGCCTTAGACTTCCTTTAAAGTTTACTTGCTAGAAATCCTTTCCATCGATTTACAGCATCTTAAGCTCTTAATCATAGAATTTTCAATTTAGAAAATGGACGTAATTAAAGAAGTGGTGTTAACAATACTTTAATAAGCACAGGATCTTAACTTTCTTCCCCAAATACTAAACCATTATAAATTATATCTAGTCCTTTTTAAAGTCCAAAAATCAATAGTTTAAATAATACTGAATTTGATGAATTGGATAATTTGATTTTAGAACAAAGTAAAAAAGAAAAATCAACTCTCAATTATCCAATGTTAGATAGAAGATAAAATAAATAGTTTTAATTCAATTCAAAACTTTAACATAGGAGTACTAAATCAGAGGTTTTGCTATTTTTTTAAGAATGATGTTTGTATTAATTATTAGTTAATTATTCACATTTCTATTTATGACTTTGATCTAATGTTCGAAAAATCTTTGAATTTTGCATTCACAATTGGAGCATACTTCATTTTTTCTAAAAGAGTATTTCGTGGGCTTTCTGGCATTTCTATATATTCCTCACCTGAATAATCTTTAAATTATAAAGTTTCATATTAATTCAAAATGTTAATGTTATTATTTCTTATCTTTTTCATATTATTACCCAAATAAGTTATATTGATATAATTCAAAATATATTGTTCATTAAATTTTGAATTAGTTTAAGGGTCGATCACATTAACAATATTGAACTTAAGTTTTTAAGATAAATTTATAAGATGATCTTATTCAATTTTATTTTACTCAACCTTAGCCTAGTTTATTATTTATTTTCTGTTTTCAATGATTTATTTAATATCTTGAGAACAAACACTTATTTTCTCTAATAAGAATTTATGTTTGAATAGTAAATTAATTTAAGTTATGACTTAAGGTAAAAATGTAGATTTATAGTTCAAACCAAACTTGGCTTTAAATTGCAATAATTTCAAGATAAATTGTAAACAAATTTTAGCTTATAAGTCTTAAGAAGTGTTTATAAGTACATTAAACTTATCCATAATAGATGGCAGATATTTAGATGACCTCAATATCTTCAAAATTTCACTCAGTAATTATTCTAGTAACTATTCTCCATTTAAGACACTCATATCAGTTGTATTTAGAGCTGAAATTTCACTTTCCTATCTGGCATTTGATCTACTTCCTAAAGTAATCATTCCATGAAATTTATTTGAGTTGTATGTTTCAAAATGAAATCGTAAGAACCATCTCTCATATTTTAGATATAATTTGACAAATCTTAATTAAATCATTTAGGTTTAATAGAATCGTGGAATTTTGTTATAGCGATTGACAATAAAAGGATTCGGTCTATAATTCTCTAATAAATAAAATATTTCCACTGACTATTATTTCTGAAATAGAATATGTAAAGGAGTACTTTTATGAATACTATCCTTTTAATCAATTTTACAATGCTTTAATGCCCATTTGACACCTTCATAAATATTTTATTTAACAGCAATATGTAAACAATTCTCACCTTGGTGCTTTATTTTAGGATCAAAACCTTTTTAAACCCAAGATTCCATAATTGCATCAATATTATGACTATGTTGCAATATTGTAGTAAAAGGTGTTTGACCTTTTAAAATAAACATCTTATGATTGCAAATTAAATCAAATTTGATGGAGTAATGTACATTGATTTTGTAATTGTAAAGAAGTTAGATGATAAAAGTTTAATTTGTTCTTGCACTTAATATATAAATGATATTGAGGAGCTCTGAATCATTTTAATTAAGCAGATCTAGAAGATAATTAATAAATTTGATATTCTCTTTCGTTCCTGGTTAAGACACAACAAACATTAAACTTTTCATTTAAACTTCTTATTAAAATTGAAATATCAATCTTAGTATTCCCAAAGAATGATTAGTAAAAATCTTCTCTAAATTGTAAGAGAATTAAGAATTCATAAAGTGTTCATAAAATTGTGAAAATGTACAATCAATACTGAAAACATTCATTAATTTATTGCATAATTACTCATCCATAAAGTAGGAAAAATTACAATAATTTAACCAATCCAATTCGAATTGTTCTAGTTTTTTAATGATTTTGCAAATTTCTTGTGGAATTATAACAAAGGCATTCTTAGAAATACCTAAGAATGTATATTGCAAGTCAAAGAGTTGGCGAGGTAATTCATCAATCAAATTAGAGTTTAAATTTAAGTAGTGGAGAGAATTCAATTTAGTAAGGCTGGAAGGTACCTTTCCTTAATGTTAAATGAGAATTACTTATGTAATTATAACTAAGATCTAAATAGAAGAGTTAAGGGAGAGTAAGAGTATGTTCAAGATTATCAATATAGTTATCTCGCAAAATAAGTTTTTATAAGTGCTAAATGAAATTGATTTGGTAAGGGATAGTTTAGAATCGATTTCCACTTAGATCAAGGATAAGTAATTTTGAAGGTATATCATTGGGCCAAATATTGATATTCTTATTACGGAGTGCAAGTGCATGCTCATTATCATGAATTTCCTTGTCTTTGAGAAATAAAGGTATATGAGTGAATTAAGTTTTCATAAATTAATAGAGAGTGAAAAATAAAGTGGATAATTTCTATTAAAAGGAGGATTGATAATTGAAAAGGAACAATAGGAGAGTAAATGAATAAGATGTTAATAGTATCAAGTGAGATGGAATAGAGAAGATGAAAATAGATAAAATGATTAGAATTAATAGTTTAGTTAATTTGAATATAAAATAATTAATTATGACAATAGTTGTATTATTTGACGAGATTGCTATGCATATCAATCGATTGAACGTAGTAGGAGTGCATGCTGATTAATTTAAGTTATTAGTGCATTTCGTAATGAATGATTAGTATATCTTTAGGTGCTAGCTTTTCCATTAGGAATTGTACTACGATATTTGAGAAGTCCGACCATAAGAAAAGGTTATACAATTTTTTGGGGAATCTTCTTTATTTTGTATTTGGGTGCTTAATGGATACAGTTGGTTATGGCTTAGACACTTGTCATATACTTAATGAGATCGCTGAAGAGACCATTCATTCCAATTGCAACAACCAGTTTTCTAGTTTTAGGCTATCTACATTACGACCGCATCATGGTTAATGGCAAACTATCAGTAGAACGCAGACTCGTCTTGGAAGATGGGATTTAACGTAGTGCAAATGATGCTTACATGTCGATTCGTTTACGTCGGAGTTGCTGCTTAAGATCGCTTACCATTTACATTTCTCGATTATATGAGTTATGTGTTTTACTTTCCTAACATCATCGTTGGTACTGTTCCTTTTACAGCATATATTCAATTTATCAATTTATAAGGAGTTTATTCTAACATGGGTTACAAATTCAATAAGGCATTTCAAACACTTTTTAAAGCTATTCTCTTTGTTGCAGGTAAACATATTTAACAATATCATTAGCTGATCAACTTATAAGACCAAAGTTCAGTTTCGCTTATTTTGCCACTCAATAATGGGAAGAACATTCACTATTTATCCGTCACATTGTTTGCTAACTCATTTCTTGTTGCGAGAGGTTCAAATACTTTCTTGCATTTAACTTCTCTTAAGCTTCAATGGATGCAACAGGGATTACCTATGATGGATAAGGTATTTTTTATTAATCGAATCTAAAATTAGAGTTTTCTAACTATCGTTTGGCCAATTATTAATTTGAGATTGAATTCTCGCCTATCAAAAGAACTAAACATTGGAATTCAAGTGTTTAATTATGGTTACAAACCTGCTTTTATGATAGATACAAGTAACATAAGTCAGCTCTGCTTCTTACATTTGTCCTAAGTGCTTACTGGTATAATATTTTATTATGAAGGCATGGATTCTTTATAGCTTATTATGTGTTTTTTATAGAGTGGGCAATTTTTAATGAAATAACTAAATAAGTTTATAGAGCAAAGGATAAATTTAAATTGTAAAAATTAGCTATAAATTGTAAGCATTCCAATTCCAATCCAAAAAATGATCTGTGCAATATATGGTTAATTAGCTGTGAATTCGACTGCTACTCCAATAGGATTATTGAAATGGGATAAAGTATTAAAAGCCATGAATGATCTTGGATGGGTAGCTTAAATTCTGATGGTTGTTGTTTGGGGATTTTTTAAGATTACGAAATTTGGGTAAAGTAAAAAGAAAGAGTGATGAAAATACATATTCATAGATATTAAATTTAATTTATTGAATGTCTCGTATATTCGAACGAATTGATAAAGAGACTCTATTAAGAGATGAATAATTACTAGATGTATTACGCAAGATTAGGGAAAAAGTATTATCAGGACATATCGTAGAGCTGAAGACACTAAGTAGTGAAGTAAGGCCTCACAATGTCAAAATAGATAGACAGAATGTCTCGAGATGAAAAACCATAAGTACCTATCACAGGCAGAACTGAACTTGATGCACTAATCACTAACTCAGAGAGAGAGAATGGTATTCTTCTTGATCAATCTTTTTCTAAAAAGATTCAAGGACCCATTACTACTTTAGCTTAGTTAAATCCAGCTTAGAACTCTCATAGTGGATCTGAATTTTCTCATCAATCATTCTACAGTGATGAAGAACCCTGGAATATTGACTATATTACTAATAATCTTGAATCTTTAGAACAAGATTTGAATTGGAAAAACTTGTCTGATGTCGTTATCGATCTAAAATCATTGTTTGAACACATCCGATTATTGATCATTAAGAATATTAACAAGAAATAGTTTTTATACAAATACAATGTCCTAGCATTGCGTTGTTTATATATCTTAGGAAATGCTATGAAAATTCAAGGCAATTACTAACATGCAATTTTATATTATGAAAATTGTTTAAGTAAGTTTACGATTAATGAACCAACTTTTAAAGGCAAACTCTTAATAGAGGCTGGTAAAGTATGTTTCATTTCAAAATACTTTTAGAAATGTTAATAATACTATTATGATGCATTATTGCATTATGAATAACTTAATTGGCGTCTTGATATTGCATATGTTCTAACATTACTATCAAGATTAAATGGATGGTTGAGTAATTATGTGCAATAATTTAAGAAAATCCGGATGTAGCCACTAAGTTGTGTTATGAAAGCTTAGCTATATATCGAGATTATCTGCCTGAAGAGGATGAATGTATTGCTGATACATATTTCATCTTAGCTGAATTAGCATATCTTCGAAAAGATTATGATGCTGCATTTTAATTTGCTGAACAATCTATTTCAATTTATGAATTAAATAGCAATAAGGATACAAGTAATAACAAAGAATCAAGTGGTAGTTGCAATGACTTTAAACCCTAATTGTCTCCTGTTTACAATTTATTAGGAATATTACATGCTAATACTAATGATTATAAATTAGCACAAAAGTATTTCCATAATGCTTATCTATGTGTAAAGTCGGATTCACTTAAAAAAGCATAAATACTCATGAATTGGGGGATAATGTAAGCATTAGAATGCAATACTGAATTGGCATAAAAAGGAATTTTGAAGGCTAAACAAATATCCTCAGTATTCTTAAACAAAAGTGATCTGTCCTTAAGATTAGAAAGAAACTATTAAGAATTAATATAATGACTTTACTCTAAATTTTTGTTTTATTTAATTTTTTGTTTTACTATGGAAGATGAATTAGCTTTTTAGAACCTTCAAAATGGTATAAGTCCTTCTTTTTTAGTTAAGCCATTGAAAATATGAAAAGAGAAAGAGATGAATTGTTATAAGAATACCAAAAAGAAAAAACTGATTTCTAAGCATTTGATGCACAAATTCGTAAGATGTAAATGGAGCTAGACTTAAGAGTGGCTATCTTGAAAGATAAAGAATAAAAATTAGCTAATTATAATAAGATGATAGAAGAGACAGATATAACATATAATAGAGTAGATTTATTAACTGTAAAATTTAATAGATTGTTGAAACATCTAACAGATTAGCAGCTAATCTTGAAAAAGAGACATAGTTCATAAAAGACCGTTTCAAGCGTTAATAATAAATTTGAATTCAATATAGATTATGAAACTAGTCAACTTTTTCATTTAAATATATTCATAAAAAAAAACTTCAATTTTTAACATATAATTTAAAATAAGTGTTAATAAAACAACTATTTTTGTAAAATTTTTAGATCGTTTTACATTCTTATTCAAAAGAAATAGGAAATCATTTCTAGAAAATAAAAAATAAGTCAAAATAATCCATTTAAATTGAATAAAAACCAAAAAGATTTTAATAAAATGTAAGAATATAATTAAACAAATTTGATTTATCAAATTTATTATTAAGTGGATATGAAGTTTCCGAACTTCAGTTTTTGAAAGGAAAATATATAACTGTTAAAAATGTTATAGAATCAATATTTATATACTTAAGTAAATAGTTTATTTGATAAATAAAATGTAATAATAATTGGAGGATGCTGAATATTTTAGAAAAAAAGATGAATATCGTTTGAGATCATTTAAAAGACTTAAAGATCAAATAGAAAATAAATGTAATATAGTTAAAGGAAGAAGTCGAGAGATTACGGTCAAAAAAAAGTTTAAGTGTTATAAATCACTAGAGGGTAGATTTTAGGAACACTCAGATACATTTTAAACACGCTTTATGAACTCATAATTTTCAAATATTATAAATGAAGTAAATCATACTTGTGAGGACATTGTATCCAGTATATCAAGAATAAAAAATGAGGATAGATAACATAATCGTGACATTTAAGCCTTGCTAAAAAAAATAGATAATCCTTCTGAACTGAATATCTCTAAATGGCAGACTGATAACAAATACATACAAATTAAAGAAGAACTGATAAAAATGCAATAAGACTAAAAATTACCAGATTATTGCAAATTTTGTCTAATAAATAGTAAAGATTCAATGAAAAGGATGAATCGATCAAATTAAGAAATAAAGGAAACAAGACTTTTATTTTAAATGAAGGATAAATTAACACCTAATTAGTTAAAAAAGTATATGGAACAATTGTTAAAGAAGTATTAACGAATTCAATAGGATTAAGAATTAGAACCTAATGGAGTAGGATGGAAATTAAAGACTAAAGTGAAGCCATATCAAAATTATGATGATTGGGTTATTATAAGAGAACATATGTTAGAGAAGAAGGAACCATCAATGCAAGATAAGTTAAAGAAAGCTGAAAAAACATTCAAAAGATAATTACATGAGTAGAAATACAGAGATGCAGCATTTAAACAATTAAAATCTTAAAATGAAGCATTTTTACAATTTGAGAAACGAGTATTCAAAACAGAGCCAGAGGAAGATTTAAAGGAACAATTTCAGATTTAGCTCTAAGATGCTAAAGGGTTTTGTGATGAGAATGCAAAAAAAATTGATAATTGTAAAGCTGATCTGAAGTAATAATTATACTAAATAAAACGAGAACATGATCGAATTTATAAAAACGAAAACAACTATCTAAACAGACTACTTTCTACTTGAAAATTCATGTGGTCTAAGTATGATATTTTGAATATTATGTGTACATTTGATATGATGTAATAAATAATCAAAAATATTGATCACAATTATTTTATCATAAAAATACTCATTCATAAATTATTTAAATGTTATATAACTTAAATTTAAAACAATCGCAAGCTAAACAGATAAATAAGTCATAGATTTGAAACTGCTTTATAGGAATAGTTAAATCACTTTATGTGTTTTTGAATAGATTTAATTTACTTGTAAAGATTAGTGTAAATTTCTAAATTCTCCTAATGTAATTCATCAATGCTTTCTACTATTGTCTGAATATTTTCATTTGGATTATTGTGCCTTTAATTGCTTGAAATCGTAGGTTGAGCAACTCTTTGTACAATCTTCTTGTCTTTGTCTGATAACTAAAACTTAAGTGAGAATGTGTCTGTCTCTTAGAATTGCAATTTTAATGATTCCATAAAGATTCTGTCTCTTATTTTTTTTTCTTCCATTCTTGTCATAAATAAATGTTCTTATTCATTAAGTTCTTTACCTAATTTTCTTACAATTAAATTATCTCTTGTCATTTAAATTGCATCCATTAATCTATTTACATTTCGATCACTCCATAAATCCACAACTCCCATTGAACCATCATTTGCAACTTCTCCAAAGGCATCTTTTACTTTTTTAATAAGAGGCTAAAGATAATAATTATTCTTTTTTTCATGAGTTCTAAATCCAAATTTTAAAAAGGTAAGCCTTTTATTTTTTGATTTTTTATTAGCTTTACCAAAAGTTTGATCTCGTTTAACTTGTATATCTGTTTTTGGTAATTCCCGAACTTATTTGTACGTTAATAGACCTCTTAGATGTCCAAGTGCAAAACTCGATTTTACATTTTCTTTAAGAATATCTATGTTTGGTAGTAGTGAGGGTTCACTTTTTTATTTTACTTTTTGTGATTAGGAAGTTTAGGACAATTATTTCATTATAAATAAAAATGAATATTAACATAATTTTGTTGATGGGTTAACTGCTATTAAAAAACATAGTCAGTATTATAGATATTGGTAGTTAAAGGGAAAAAGATAGTATTGCATTAGGTTTGAATTCATGTGCATCAGTTTCAGTTCTTGTGTGCTATTTCATGATTTATCGTCATGGAAAGTATAGATTAATTATTCGACTTCTTGTTTAAACCATTATTGTTATTCATTATGAAATTGCATTATATGAAAGGAATACTATTTCAGCTTAAAGTTCTATAATTTACATGATGTAAATTTAACTATATTTATAACGACACAATGGAATTTTTGATTATATGGGTCATTTTGCGCTTATTTATGCTATTTTAAGATTTCTAATTAGAGAATTTTCAAACTTATTGTTTTCTGAAATACTTCTAATTTTCTTATGGTAACCTTTAAATCATTATTTACTCTATTAATTGAGATTAAAGAAACCATATAAGAAAGAAGAAACTACAACTTAAGTTCATTTTTAGACGATCTCATCTCCTTAAGTCTAAAATACATAGGGTGGAGAAGAGCTAGTAACAAAAACTAATGTAAATGAAGATTATTTTAATTATATCCCAGAAGGTTTAGTAATTTTAGATGAATCTTTCAATATTATTAAACATAACTAAAAGATTCTGTAATATTTATAAATTAAAGAACCTTCAACAATTCCTATTACTTTAGATAGCTTAATTAAAATGTAATTTGTCATATATACTTTAAGTGCTTAAAAAAATAAAGTTCCAATCAAAGAGAAGGAAAAAAAGAAACCAATACATATAAAAGTCTTAAAATAGAATAGTGAAATGTAATTTAGTTACAATGGTTCTTTGGCTTCATCTTTGAAAAAATAATTTTGGACATCTGATAGAAATTAAATTAACTACAGTTTTTCAAAAGGAGATTCTTTAATTTATCCATCTCTTTAAGCTATATTTAATGAGTTCAAATTAAAAAATATAAATGAAAGCATGACTGTAAATTCAGAATCTTGTAGTATTGTCAAATATTAAATTGCTCAAGAATCCTAAATAAAATACAAACATATTTAAATTAAAATTTATGAAATTAAATTACCTTCTAATTCAAAATCAGCTCTCTTTTTATTTATTGTTGAAAATATCACAAATAAGGAATAATTAAAATAATTAACCAGTAGATTTATTTTTTAATAACAGTTACTGAACTCATTCAGTCATGAATTAAGAACACCTCTTAATTGTACTCTTTCATTGTTGTAAGTTCTTAAAAGTAAATTAAAGAATGATGAAATTAATAATGAATACTTAAATCCAGCTATAGTAACAAGTCATCGTCTATTGTATTAGATTAATGACATTTTAGATTATGCTTAAATCGAATGTTAAGATTTTAAAATTAATATTAGTGAATTTAGTGTTGGTGAAATTTTTTAAACTTTAAAAGATTTCTTTATATAAGAATGTGAATAAAAGTAAATTTAATTAATAATTGAAACAGACTGTTTGATTGTTATAAGAAATGATAAAGATCGAATAATTTAAGTACTTATTAATTTGATAAGCAATTCAATTAAGTTTACTCATTAAGGAGGGAGGATAGTAATAAATGTAAATAGAAGAGATAATATGTATTAATTCACAGTATGGGATAATGGAAGAGGTATTTCAAATTAGACATTAACTAACATTTTTGAATAACCAAATAGTATGAGTTCAAGCAGTAGAGCCAATGATACTTAATCTTATTCATATAAATTAGGAATAGGTTTAAAAGTAAGCAGAGGAATTGTCAAATATCTAAGCATTAATGGTGATTTAATCATTAAAAGTTAATTTGGTTGTTACACTTCAATTAATTTCTTTGTTGAAGATAAATATATGAAAATTGATGATGATGTTTCAGAAAAAGAAACTATTCTAAAATTAGGCAGCAAAAACAATTTAAAAAAATGTAATTGCCCATAAATATTAATTGTTGATGATATACCTTTTAATCATATTGCTTTGATAGCAATTCTTAATAATTTTGGCATTTAAGCAGAGAGTGCATATGATGGAATTTAGGCTATTGAGAAGGTGAATGAAAGAATAAAAAATCCTTAATGTTGTTTATCTTATAGGATAATTTTTATGGATTTGGAAATGCCAGGTAAAAATGGATTTCAAACATCCACTGAAGTAAGTTTCAATTGATTTATAGATAGTAACAATTTTAAAAAAAGTAAATGTTTAATCTGTCATTGTTATGTATTCTGCCTACACTGGAGAAGAGAATATTGAACAAGCACGATTATGTGGTATGAAAGAATTCATACCAAAACCAATATCACTAAATAGATTATAAATCTTGATAAATAAGTACTTTTCCCAATAAGTTTGATATTTTTTGAAAATATTTTGATATTCTACATCATTAAAAAAATATATATTTGATTTTTATTCCTTTTACTAAGAATTAATAAACAATCAATTTTACTAAGAATTAATAAACAATCAATTTCTTTTATTCTGATTTAATTTCTATATTACATTTTCAAATTTAATTTTACATTATAAAATTTTGCATAATTACAATATTAATTGTTCAAATTTACAAAAGCTTTAGATAAAAAGAAGAGGATACATATAAAAATTTTTTCTTTAAATATCCTATATTAAATAAAAATTTCAGCATTGATGTCAATAGTATTTTTATTATTTTTGTACCCAATTAATGATTATATTCTTATTGAATTTATTTTTAAGAGATTAAATAATTAAAATAGAAGTTCTTTTTTTAATTAAGACAAGGATTTTTAATAAGAATATTTATAAAAAAACAACTTTATTATAAATCAAATATATTAATTTTCATCTTAATCTGCTTGACTAGTACTTTCTTGATTTTTAACAATATCATTAGTCTCTTTCTGACTGTTTCTTTCATTAATTTCACTCTGATTGCTGCTTTATTTTTTTTGGATATTACTATCGTTATTGTCATCATTATCAAATTGTATTGGAATTTCATTGGCTTAATGATCAATAATTTAAGTTGACTTTATCTTATCTAATGGTTATTATTCTTCAGTTGGCATTTCAATATCTTCCTAAATAGTGTCTTATTTTTTTGCTCTGCTATATATCATAAATCTTTTCTCTCTTTAACTAATAAAACCTTAAGACTCTCTTTATTTTTAATCCATGCTATTAGATCTAGAATTACGTTGACTTTTCATTAGCTTTTGCTAATTAATCTTTAATTGTTCATTTAAAGCTTACTATTCAAGATGTTTTGCACTTTTGATATCTATTTTCAATTACAAAGGAGGCATCAATTTTCTTCCAGGATCAAACAACTTGTGTAACATATAATATGACATGGTCTTCTTCTCAATCATTTACACCTATTTGAATTGTGAGAGAGAGATCTTACTTCTCTGAAGAACTCAAATATCTCAATATTTGAGGCCCTAGAGTTTGCATCCAATAAAGAAGATAGAGAATTAATCAATTGTCTTTGAAACTGTCTTAATTCACAATAGAGGTTACAAGCCAATTTCTTCAATAGAAAATCGTGAGGAAAATTTTATAAAGATGTTTTCAGTTAAGGTACTAGAGATAAACCTTAATTTACAAGGTTTTCTAATTTGAAGCATTCTATAACAAGACTTAAATAAATTTACACCATTATACTTAGATTAATGAATTTGTTTTCGAAAATGATGGTTTCTATAACTTTTAATCTCCTGTATATTTAATGCTAATTTTTATAAATACTACAAGAATGGAATTTATAGATTTTCCAACAACCATATTTCATTTTATAACTACTTATTCATTAATGTTTCTTGTTTTTGGAAAAGCATGCTAATATTCAATCATTCATACTTATTAAAGTATGCAAAATTTATTTAAGAGAATTACAAAACAAACTCATCACTGATATTCAGCACCTAATGAATTGTTATAAGCATTTTCATTTTTATTGTATAAGGTTGTAAGCTTTCTTCCTAATACACCTAAAAAAAATCGATTATATTTTGTTCATCTGTCAGAAATGGTATTAAATTTTCAACATCTTCTTGTTTGTAAACAAAGTTATCTTTTGTTAGACTAGATTTTGTTAGAAATGACTAGAACTCACTTTAACTCTAAAATAGTTTCTTAAATCTCTTTATCATTTATATTAAGAATAATTGTTGTTTATCTGCTCAAATTTTTTTTATCATCATTTAACTATCCAATATTCTAAATTATAACTAGGAACACATGCATGATATTGAAATAATATAATTTTTATATTTAACAAATAATCAAGAATTTTTTTTGGAAACTATCATATTTATTGACTGTCTCGTATTAATATCAATTGATGGATTTACAATACTTAATCAAATTCATAATCTGTATGTATGAAATTTTAATATCATGATTGTTAATCTACACCCTAACTCTTACTTATTTAACAAAGTGAGAACTACTAAATATTTAAAGAGGGATTGTTTAATTTTTTTTTGATTGAATCAATATTTTACCATTAATTGCTATTTTTTAGTATACCAAACAAATTAAAACATTTCCAATAGAAAGGCTTTCTACTTTTTATAGTTTAATAAATTTCTCTGGTTTTTAGTTAAAATCACAAAATAAAATTCCTAAATAATTAAAATTATTTTTCTAAATTCATTTTCAACAATATTAAATAAATTTAGCCTAAAATATCTATCTCTGCTTGATATAATCAAATCACATCAATTAATCTTAAGAATTTTAATCATTAATCAACAAATTTAAATTATTTTTAGCAAAATTAAATTTGGTAAACATTTTGGATAGCAATCAAAATTTTTTCTTATTTTATCTTTTCAAAAAAGTATAAAGTAGCACGATTCTTTTGTGAATCTATCCTTTTTTTCATCAACTAATTTATATTGTTTTAAAAGGTAATAATAATCTCTAAAAAACAATCTATTTTGGAAATACAAAAAATTTGGCTTTTCCACTTTTTTTTATTGAATGAAGGTAATTTGATTTTACTTTAGAAATATCAAAGATATTTATTCTGATTAACTAAAATTACATTTTTGCTTATTTTCAATAAGATAAATTTTTTCTTAAAATAAAAATTAACGATGAAAATATATGGGTGATATATATATAATAATATAATTAATATTATATAAAGACTATTCTATGGAATTGGTTCTGTGACTTTATAGTTATTTCAAAAATTGAAATTGATGAAAAATATAATCAATTAAATATTGATGGAGATTTTCCCAATATAAAATTTTAAGAAATTAAAAATTAAAAATCAGGATAATCAAATCTATAAATAGTAAAAATTCAGAGCTTTAAATAGGTTCTTGATATGATTAAAAGTTATATAATAGATAAAATATTAGATATATATTGTTGCTTCATTGTCTTCTACTGTTACAAAACAGATTATTATTACTAATTATCTAGTTTATTGGAACATAATTTTATTCTTCCATATCTTTTTCAAGAGCCTGATCATCAGTTTTTCCAATAAACACTCTCTTCTTTTTGAATTTCATCAATTGAAGATATTCAAAGTTTTGTAGATTAAAAAAACTTGTTTAAACTAATATTTTTTGTTTTTTTGAAAAGCAACTGTAGAGCCATAGATATAGTTAATTTTATGTAGAAAATAAGTGAGAAGCATAGTTATTTATGTCATAGACTAGATTTGTACTCAATCTTGCTCTAAGATCAGATATTAGAGATAGATCTTATACCAATAGATCTCTATTTAAGTTAAATGATGAACATATGATTTTTTATCTTGAGATTATGTTTAATGCTTTTGAAATTTCTGATTCAATATCAGCATTAAGTATAGTTTGAACTTATTTAAAATACTTATCTATGATATTTAGAATGATATACTTCTAAATTCAGTTTTTAATGATTTAAATTGATATTCATTCAATATTAATTATACATCTTAGCCAAACGTAGATTTCAACTATACATTTTTTTATTTGAATTTTAATTTCAATAGAGACAATTGATTTTTACATTTGAGTCTTTCAGCCACACTAATAAATTCTTATTATAAAATATTATCTAATTTTTTAATGGCAGTTTCAATATTTCCACTTCTTAATAGTTTTAATATATCAGGATAATAGTCAGTAAATTCTTAAGATGATAATTATTCAATATTCTATTAAACAGAAGAATTTTATTCTTTCTATAAATTTAATTATTTTTTGAATATTGGTGCAGATTCTGCTACAGTTTCTCTTACAGTACATTCACTTCCAACTTAAAGACTAAAATCATTATAACTTTCCATAGATTGATTGTCTTCAATTTCTTCTTAATCTGCATATTTTTAGATCATATTATGATGTCTTTAAACCATATTCTTTTCTATTTGATGTCTCATTTAATATACATTTCTAATTAATTAAGTAAATATACTTTTCTTATTATTCTAATAGTGATTTTTCTTTAATAACACTTGTCAGAATATATCTTTTTTCAAGTTTTCGAATATTCTTTAAAGCGACTAAACTTTAGATAGCCAAATTTCTAGGTAATTTGTTAGATTTACTAATAGCAAAAAAGTCTGCATTGATTGAAATAAGAAACTCTAAGATTTCAATATTTCCAACATTTACAGCTGTATGACATAGTCCATAACCAGTAATAGTTGATTAATGATAAAAATCAAAGAATCTTTTATTAATAAAATCAGCATTATTAGACATATTGAAATCATTTCCAAATTTAAGACCTTTTAATTATTATTTTTTAATTGCCATATCAAGAGGTGTTTATCCTTCATAATTTTCAACATTTGGATCTGCTCCATAAAATAATAATATTTAAGCAAATTCAGAACTTTACTCATGTTTATCAAAATGCATCATTAATTGATGTAATGGAGTATTACCATCTAAATTTCTCATCATTACTAAAGATTCATCATTTATTGGGTGCTAAACATTAGATTTTCTTAATTATGAGTGAGGCTCTTTGATTCCTAAAAGAAACTTTAAATTCTACACATCTGCTCTTTAACTTATAGAATGAATGATATTAAGTGAAAATCTACCACCGAAAGCCTTTAAAATACTCACTGATCTTTATTATTATAAAAAATAACCTCATTTTGCCTTCTAAATAGCATACTGATAAAGGTGTATTATTGTCAAAATCAGTTTTATTGATATCTTAAGGTATAATCTAATTTAAACAATATAAAACTCCTATTTCATCATTCATACCTGCTTAACAAAATAAGTTTCTTTCTTTATAATCAGTACTACTATAATTCTGTTCATTCTAACTTAATAGTTATATGAATTCTTAAAAACCTAAAGCTTATTTTTATAAAGCATTTATTAATCTCTCTTAAATCCATGGGTATTTCTTAAAATTTAATTTCAATGGTAAAGTAGGTTTGCAATATTTAAACCAATCAAATTCTAATTAATTCATATTTTTTAATGCTTTATTAAATTGTTTTGGTAATTATATTATTGGATTCATCTATATGCATAATAAATCTAATCTCCCCAAATACGGCTATTTTATATAATTACAAGCTAGATTTAGTTAATTTAAACGTTCCAAACAAATAATATAATTTTATAGTTAATTAAATGATATATCTAAAATCTCTAAAAATTTTAAAGATTCCAAAAAATTTGGTAGGTTTACTAACATATTTGAACTCAAATACAACTTTTGTAAATTTATCATTTATCTACATTTATGATACATTTTACTTCACATCATCTGGTATTTAATAAAGTTTACATTTTGATAAATCAAGAAGCTTAATATTGACAAATTTATTTTAATTTAACAAACTACTCACTAATCCCTATCCTTAGACTTCTAATCTCTCATCAGTGAATATAATCTCTTGAATCTAAAATTTATAATTTAATATACAGTTTCAGAAGGAGATTTCATGTCTAATGGCTCATTCATATTTAAATTGTAAAATTAAACTTTGTCCTCCAATGCAAATCCTTCAATCTTAACCTCCTTTTTATATTCATCAAATTATGATTCCACATACATATCACTTTATTCACTTTCATCTTTTGATAATTCAGAATTCATTTATAATAAAAAATAAACTTTTAATTTATGACCAAATAAAACTTAATTTTCATCAAACCTTATGTAATAAAAGGCTCAAATGTTAATTAAATTTTTACATCACTAATTTATTTTAATAAAAATCCAAACCTTATTAAACATATTTTATTAAATTCAATATAATTATTTAAATAGAGATAGTTTCAAAATTATCAATACTTCTTCTCAAATTTTATAAATTTCAGAAGAATAAATATTTAATTACTATAATAAATAACTATTTTAATTTCTATGATTTATTATTTATTTTTATGGCTTTTACAAGTTCCTGCAATCCTTGAATCACTTAAATCATGAAATAAATTTCACCTTGCAAATCCAGAGACTTCTAAAAATATTTAAAGATAAGTAACATTTTAAATTTAATTCTAGACTTCTATTAAATCAACAAGTTTAAGAAATAGAAACATTAAACTTTGATTATTCTTAGGATATTAATATATCTCCTATTAATTCATAAATATTTAAAGTTAATAAACCAATATTTATCATGGAAAATATAAATGTCAAATTAAGAGCTCACCTTTAAGCTTTGTAGTAGTTTATAAATAATTTTATAAATATTAAAAAAAACTCTTTTTTACTTCTACTTTATATTTTCAACATTTTAAATCTAAAATTAATTATAATTGTCAATTTGAACTATTCTTTAAAGGAAATATTAAATTTAATCTCAAAAATACTAATAAAATATAATTGTTTTTTATATGACAATAAAATAAAATTTCATCCTCATTTTCATAAACTCAAATATCGTTTTGGTAAGTCAAATATTCATAAAAATTAAAAAAATAGATTTTAAACAGAATCAACAAATATTGAGAGAAAATTTTATTTACTTTGAAACAAATTAATAATATTTCTAAACTTGTATAAAAATATCAGAAAATTAAAAATTTTATTTATATTGTAAATATTATTAATAACTTTTATTACTTGTATTTTAATGGGTGTATTATTATAAATTTAAATTGAAATCATATAATTAATATAAGGAGCTATTATATTATAATTAAAATGAAATACGTTTTATCAGAATTTTATTAAAATAATAAATGGATAATTTTTTTGACTCATAGTGTTATGAAGTTGAAACAGGTATAGCTTTGAAGAAATAAATTGTATTTCTAAAAGTTGGAACAAATAACTTTGCTAGGTGCTAATTATCATTAGAAAACACAATATTAACGTTGAAAAATTTTGGAGAGGAGAGTCAAATTTTGAACTCAATAAATATTGCAAATTCTTATATAGAATTTAATGATCATGTTTGTATGGGTAGAGGTGTGAAGATTAGATAATAAAAAAAAGAATTACTTATATACGGACTAACATCTTAATTGAAATAAATACTGAAATTGTATGGAATTTAAAAGGATTTTGCAAATTAATATAAGGTGTTGAAATAAATAGGAAGTGGAAGTTTTGGAAAGGTATTAATTAAAAAATATAAATATAGGTTTACAAAGTAAAGAATGTTTAAAATGAATAATAATTTGCAGTCAAAATGTTTGAGAAATAATTATTACTTGATTCAAGTGATAAAAGTGCAATTGTTAAGGAAATTTAAATATTAAGATTGATGGATCATCAAAACGTTCTTTGTATAAAAGAATGTTATGAGAGTGATTAATGTTTATTTTTGGTTGAAGAACTTTTTGAAATGTAGATGGAAATAAGTTAAGGAAACATATTGAAGGAAGATGAGGCAATAAGTTTATTATTGAAACTATTAAATGGATTGGAGTATATTCATTCTAAAAAAATAATTCATAGAGATTTAAAGCCTGATAATATTTTATTTAGGAATAGAGAGGATCCAATTATAGCAGATTTTGGTTTTGCAGACTTTTATAGAGAAGATGGTATTTATCTATTTTAGAAGTGTGGTACAAGAAATTATATTGCTCCAGAGATAATAACAAATAAAAATTATGATTATAAAGTGGATATTTATAGTTTAGGTGTTGTTTTTCATTAATTACTTACTGCTTAGATTCCACGGCCTTGGGATAATTACAAACATTCTCCTGATTGTTAAGCATTATTAAATGGAATGTTACAAGTAAATGCTATAGATAGATTCTCAATCAAAGATATTAAATAAAATAAACTTGTTAGAAGAATACAAAGAAGAAGTTAAATATTTGATGCTATGGGAAGTTTATCTGATTTTACATAATAAAATATGAGCACTCCTTAAATTAAGACTTAATTATTCTCTATTAATTCAGCATGAATGTAATTATCTATCGAGTTTGAACTTTAATTATATTATATAATTTATGATATATATTATTTATGAAATGAGAATCAACAATTATAATGTAAAATATAAATTTTAAATATATATTCTAAATCAAAGAATATCAATAGCATCATATATGTCTCCTAATCGAACAGCAAAGTAAATCAATTTTTATTAATTTAAGGATATCTTAATAATGATTACTTCTCCATCATCAATTGTGATATGTAGTTCACTTTAAAAAGGTTTAAATTATAATTCTATATAACTTCCATTATAGAAGCGCTTTCCACATTTAATCTTAGGCTTACTCTCACAATTAATGTAGCCATAAGAATTAAGGAAATAACATCCTTCTGAATCCTTTTAAAAATGTTTCTCTTTAACCTTTTTTTAATCACATAAACCTAAAGCCATAGGATATCGAATATTTTAATTTTAACATGATCTTATCAATAATCTTAATTTACTATCTCTAATTAATCCATTACCATATATTGATGGACCTATCAATACTATATTACCTTCAGTATTTAAGATTTGTTTAGCCTATTTGCCTTTTATTTATACTCCCTCACCATGATACTCAGAATGAAATTTATAAGAAATTTCTTTCATTGGAGGTGGTGGACTAGGTTCTCCTATTAATTATTTTCCTTAAGAATTAGGTCTATAATATTAATTAGATAAAGATTATGTAACAGATAATCTATCTTCAAATGGCTATGGTGATAGAGGAGATCGATCATAGGATCTCATTGTTCTATATCCTTCTGTATTGATTGAATTATTTCTATTTTGTCTACTAGTACTACTTGTTCTAGAAGCTTGTACTAATGTAGTATCTTATGGTGGAATTTATAAAATGTCTCTAAAATTCATTAAGTTCATCAAAAATTAATTGAATTATGGTTATTCTTCTTTTAATGGTTAAATTCTTGAGATCAATTACTATGCTCTAGGATTGTATTCTAGTTTTAGTAACAATTTTTAAATCATTTATCCTAACAGTTTTGCTTCATTAATTGATGCCATAAATTGATGTGATATTATTACTAAATCTAAAATGTTTACTTACATTTATCAAATTTGAGTTATTATTCAAGCAATTCTCTTTGTTTTTAAATTACCTAATTAATTTATTCTTACAATTTATTTAATTGAGTTATCTGAATCTCTAAATTTTGCGAATAATTTAAAGTGTTCTTAAATATGTAAATGATTAAATAATTACTAGCATTATTAAAGATTCTTATTTTCTGATCAGATTTAGTAATTTCGTTAATGGAATCAATTTGTGACCTTTATGTTTTTCATCTATGCAAACAACGCAATTCAGAACTTCTCCTTTCTCAATACAAGTACCATGAAGACAGACCATCTCCAGATGTTCATCTCATTATGAATGGCAACTCATTACCCTTGTGATAACCTCCTTATTAACAGTACATTAGATATATTTTTAATATAATCATTTTAAATAGTATTAAATCAACTTTTACTTTTTTGAGTTCACTAATATCAATGAAATTTGTCAATATAATTATATAAAAAAACAATTGCCATCATTATATACACTAGTAATGTCATTCTAAAACTATATCTAAGTACCTCTAAATAATAGAAATCTTACTAATTTAAACTAAAAAAATCATAAATCAATTATATAACTTCAATCCAATCCAATATTCAAATTATATACAATAATGGCATCAAAAGAGAATTGATAATACTATGACTTTTCCATTTTTTATTTATTATAAATTGTGTATTCTAATAGTTAACTATAATTTTATTCATAATTAATAAAGCAATTTCTGTTAGAATATACAATTAATTGAAGTGGATATAAATTATAAATCTAGAATTTTTTTTTGTAATATACAATTATCTTAATCATTTGTAAAGACCTTTAAATATGTTTATTTCGAAGTTCTTCTTTTGGATTAAAAAAAATAGTTATTAAAATGTAGAGATTTAATTAATTTTTGTTAAATATTGAATTTTTCCTAGACTCAATATGCTCTATGCAGAATCTGTTCAATTAATATATAAATGTATTAATGATCATAATTCTTCATAATAAATCTCAGAAGAAACTTCTTCAGTAATTTGAAGTGTTTCTTTATTTTTCAATAGTTAGGGTGGCTATATGAATTAGTTGGATGTTTTTTAAGATTCAATGAATTCTTACTCCTCGCTAATCTCTTAAACTTATTATTCCTTAAAACTGTTAAGAACATGTCTATTTTGATGATCACTTGGTTTTCTTGTTAAAGGAATAATCTCAACTTATGATTAACTATAAGTTAGATTATCTCTAGCTGAAGTTTGCTTTCTACTTTCAGAAGTTTTTAAGTAAGAATCACTCATTCTGTATACTATCATTATATAAAATAAACTACCTGAAAAATCTAAGGATAGCTCTTCAACTTTACGTTCTGAAGGTTATTATTGTTATTATTATTTTTATTATTATTATTATTTTTCTTATTATTGTTATTTTTATTATTATTTTTAATTGAACTCTTCATATTCAAAGTCATCCTACTTTATTTGCAATTTTGGTATGTATCTATAAATAACAAAATCAATTTTTTATAAATTATAAAGTTAAGATAGCATTTCACATTCTTCTTTTAAATAGAGACGTAAAAATCCTTAATCAATATTATCAACATCTCCTAAATATATTTGATTAATAAGACGAAGAAATGTAATTTACTCATCATTAAGATTGGTATTTCTTTTGATATGAATCATAAAATCATCAACATTATATTTAATATCAATTAATTTTGAGTTTTTCATTTATTAATTCAATTGTTTAATAATATTATGTCTATTGATAATAGTTTTGAAATTGAATTAAGTATCTTCTTTTTTTGGTATAATCAATTAAATTAAATCACTAATATTTTGTGTATCTTCCCATTATATTTTATATCCCAAACCTTTATCTTCACCAAAGAAATGGCGACTCAAAATAAGTGCATCTTATTCTTAATAATTGAAAGGAGATCTCATAAAATATTGTATGGAATCTTTTAATTGCATAAATTCAATTTGTTTAAATATATAGAGCAATCTTTAACGAGTCAAACAAAGTGAAATTACTTTATATTTAAGATCTTCTAACAATTACCTCAAACGTTCTTAATCAATTGGATTTGAATTGATAATATCAGTTGGTTTATGTTATTTAATTGATGTTTCAGGAAATTGAATATTTTAATCACGATATGTTTTTGGAGGTTGGATTTATTTCACAACAGGTTCTTCATTTGCTGATTTTTATTTTAATAAATCCTAAATTGCAACTCTATCTTATAAATCCTAACTAACTGCATAATTATTAATGATACATTAATGATTCTTTCTTTTATAGTAGTTCTTCTAAATGTATTTTAACCTTTTAAACATTCATAATTGTTTATTTAAATTCTCTCTCTTGATCTTATTAAATCTTTGTTGATTATTTGTATTTAGTTTCATATAAGGATAATTCTCCTTTTAATACATCAACTTATTTAAGAACACTTCTATTAAATATATTTAAAATTTACTATAATTTTTTTTCAAGAAATTCTCTTTTTTTTTATTAATATTATTCAGTTTCTGTAATTAGTTAATCATCTATTTTTTTTTTAAGTTATGTTCTTTCTATACTAATTTATTTGTTTTCATCTTAAAGTTTATTGATATTTTCTAATAATTGTTTATACTCTGAATTCAATTTCTTATACTATGCAAACTATTTGTCAATGTGAATTTATTGTGCATCAATGGTAATAATGTAATTTTAGATACGCTCACCAATGTCAGGATCATTGAACTAGCTTTGAATAAAATTTTAGTAATTGATTACTCTTAATCTGTGATTTTGAGAGCAATTTATTGCAACTACTTCATTTTAATGATTTCATCTTATTGATTCTTGATCTATTTTTACAATTCAAGAATTGATGTTGATTTAACTGATTTATATTGATTACGTAAATCAATAGTCAATTCTTCAATTATTTATGCTTATTCTTTAATTTTTGCTTTAAGCAAAGGAACAATACATCCTTCATTATTACTAGTAGACATTCCTAATGGATCAACTTATAATTAATATCGATCTACTCTTTCAATTTTTAAGATCCGAGCCTATTATCATAGTTATAATCATAAATAAACTTATAATTATTGTACAAGTGTTTTTAGTTTAAGATTCTCTAATTTTAATTCATTATTTTCCTATTTCAAATGCATATTGTTTATGTAAAGTGTTTCCCATTCGATTTAGAACTTTTATGGTGTCTATGGAAGTTTATTTGCTTTTGGAAGCACTTAGAAGTAAGAAAAAGAGAAACGTGAATCTGAAGGCTCTGATTAAAAATTTATCACTGCTGATTAAGGTCTTCTCATTATTTAAGTAAATTATTATATCACTTTTTAGTTGGCCTCTTATCTTTCTTCTTTTATATGCTTTTTTTGATTGGCTTATTTTGTAAATTAGACAATGCATCTTCTAATTGTTTGATTTTGGCGTCTTTCTCTTCAATTGTTTATCTCAAACCTTCAATCAAATCTTAATATTCAGCATTCTTAGCCTCTATCTCAGCCACTCGAGTTCTCAGCTCTTTTAGAAATGAAATTCCTTACATCATCATTCTCTTTAAATGATTCCTCTTATAATTTCTTACACATCTAATGTGGGTCCATTTATTATTTTTAAATTATATAAAATTCCGGGCAAAAATATTTTATAACTAAAGAAAGAGCAAAAACACAATATTAGTAATAAGAAAATATAATTCATAGATATTTAATTAAGATTTTTTTAAGCGCCTTCTACTCTACTGGCTTATTTAAGTATCCTGTCATTCCATATTTTAAACATTCTTACATCTATTCTTCTGAATCATATGCAGAACATCCAATAATTGTTGTAGATACTCCTTATTCACCACATAAACTTAAAATTGCTTATGTTACTTAAAATCCATTCATTATTGGCATTTCTAGATCCATTAATATTAACTTATAAAATTCTTGTTTATTCTTTATTCTCTCTTTGCATTTCTCTATTGCTTAATAACCATTCAAAGCCCAATCTGCTCCTATATCTTTTATCATTCTTGCAATCATTTCTACATTTAATTAGACATCATCTACTATCAAAATTTTTGGATGATCATTTATCGAAACTTTAGTAGATCCTTAGACATTTGTAATATTTTTAGTCACTTTCAATTATTAAGGTTTTTCATCATCATCAGGAATTACTAAAGAATCCTAATCTGAATTTTCACTCTCTTAATTACGTTCTTCCAATTAGTGTAGTGATAATGATTCTTGTACATCATAAATTGAAATTGAAAAATAAAATGTAGTACCTTTATTTTATTAAGATTACAGTTTCAATCCATTTTAAATATCTCCATTAAGGCTCTATAAAATTTAGTTACTGATTAATAGACCTAATCCAACTCCTTGAGAGTTCATCTTTTTACTTTCCTCGCTATTTCCTTTCGCAAAAGCTTTAAATAATTTGACTTTATCATCATCTGAGATTCCAATACCTGTATCAATAACAGATATAGTAATTCTTTTTCTATCTTACCCTTAAGTAACCTATAAAGTAATATTTCCTTTTAGAGTAAATTTAAAAGCATTTCCTATTAAATTCATAATAATTTATTTGATTCTGTTTGAATCTTATTCAATAATTTTAGGTACATGTTGATTGTAATTTAAAATTAATGTAATTTATTATTTTTCAGCAGTTGCTGAGAATAACTCAAGACAATTTTTTAACATATTTTCAAGATTAAATTTTTATTTAGTCGCCTTAAATTTACCAACTCTTATTTATGCCAAATCAAGTAAATCATCAGAAAGATTCAAGAGTTGTTTAGCTGTATATAAAGCAACCTTAACAAATTTATGACTTTCCTTATCTTTTTCACAATATTGAGTTTCAGATCTATTTCTATATTCTTCCTTCAAACTTTCATTGAGTTGATCAATGATGCAATTTAAAGGAGTTCTGTATTCATGACTAACAAAGGCTAACATTTTGGATTTCTGATTACTATAATTTTTTAATGAATGAATGTAATCTCTATGACTGATATCCCTGGCTACAATTAAAATTTAAGGACAATCATTTATTAAAGTGGAATATAATTTAACTTCAATTTATCTTCTCTTATGTTTCTCTGATTTAATATACCCCAATATAACAATATGTTCTTATACATAACAATGAGTATTCTTCATTAGATTTATTATTTCTTTACTTTGCATCTGTTTTTTGATAAATTAAATCTCTTATTCGATAACCTAATTTATAAAATATAAAAATATCTTACGCAACAATCAGTTAGAAAAGTATCCTAAATTTTTAAAGTATTTTGTTTATGCTATGTTTTTGCACGTGGCAATAGTGTTTCTTTATATTTCTATTAAATCACAGTTCCTGATTACTTATTCTAAGATCTTGATGCGCTCTAGAATAAAGTCTTAGGTATTGGTACAGGTTGAAAAGTAGAAAAAGAACTCATTGATTATTTTGGTTATTCTATTTATTGGGTTTCTGTTTATTCAACGATTTATTGATCTTCTAAACTAAATATACATTATAGAATTGATTTCTAATTTTCTCTTTCTTCAAATATCTTTTTCATATTCTCATTACAAAATTTAACTTCATCTTCTAATGAAACTAGTGCTATCCCTTAAGGAAAGAAACTTAGTAATTCAACTTAAAATGTATCACTTTTTGGAGTTGGTGGTTAACTATCAGAATGATTTTGATCTTTTGTGATCCTGTAAGTAGAATGATGATTGCTATCCACATACAAATTTTTTTAATTAAAGTTAATGTTTCCATTTAATTTTGATTCGTTTATCAATTATGTTAATGTTTTTATCGCTATTGATATGCAAGGTAAATATATTTCATACAAATTTACATGCATAAATAAAACAAGAACAAGAATATCGACTCCTACACAATACAATATTATAAGCATTTTGCTTCTTAATTTATTCTCAAACAATAACGTATATCCAATTTACATCATACACATGCAAGATATTGCATTTGCTTCACTACTTAAATACAAAATACCCATAAATCCCAAATATTATATGATTATTACCACTTATAATTACAATGCTTAAAAATATTCCCAAACCATACGAGTTATTAACAATATTATTACCACAAACAAATAGTAGTATTCCTCAGAAACAAATATGCACTAAAGAATCAAAAGCAAACTCATTAACAGGATTAAAAACTGACTTTTAATTAAGCTCCATAATTTTCTCATTTTAATTAATTTTCTCAAATTACTCTCCTCTCTTTCACAACATCATTATAATCTCTCGCCCAGTAATACTTCTTCATCAACAAACTTCCTAAATTCTGAAAAATTCATAATCAAAATAAAAACTACGTTCTTAGAAGAGTCATTTAGATATACAAATTAAAATACTCATCCACAAAATGAAATATAGTTTTTTTGAAAACTCAAAAAAATTCCCCTTTTAAATACAGAGATATTAAAAGTTCACAATTTAAATTTTATTATCTCATTAATCTTCAATGAAATAAAATTTAATTACTATGCTGCTAAATAACAACTAAAACATTTAATTGTTAATTTTATATTAACTTTAGCAACATCAACTAAACATAACTAAAATACAAATAAATTATATTAACAAGAATGATTAAATAGAAAACATTTGGCATAAAAATAATTATTATAAAAATTGATTATAAATAAAATTATTTTTCTTTTAAAAATAATTCTTGTTTACATTCATGTGATAGATTAAATTGTTTAAGAACAATAATGATATTATTAATTTTATATTTAAAGAAATTATTATATATCTGTTTATTTAAGTATCATAACTTTTTTATGTGTAGTCGAGGCAAATTAAAAAGATAAAACAATTTAGAAAAATTTTAAATAAATTATTTAATCTCCTTAATAAAGCCTTATTTATAAATTTTTAAAATTTATTCGTACTATTTTTATTATCACAAGTTATTTTTAAACTTTTTGTAAATGTAAGGAAATATTTGAGTGGTGATATAAGATACTATTGGGAAAATGCATTTACTTGATTTTTGTAAAAATAATAAATGAAATTAATCAAAATTGATTTCATCTTAAATAAAGATACATATTGTTATTTTAATTTAAATGAAAATTAGTATAAATGTTAACATAATTATTTTATCATCATAAAATACATCATCAAGGTCGTTTTTTTGGAATAATTCTTTAGTTTTATATAGCTGTAGATTTGACTGAGGTAATCTTAATTTCTTCATCTTTATAGTACTATGAAACTCTTTTACGTTATGGTCCATCCTTCTTCATAATATTACTATTGGATAAGGCTTAAGCAGTATATTTATCTTGAGAAATGCCTCTTACCCTTTCGTCTAACATTTTTAGATTATTTCTTTGATATTGTTATAATTAGACTTGATTTCTTCCAATTGAATAATTGTTTTATTCGTTTTCTCTGAGAGAATTCACTAAATATTATTGTTCTGGACTAGGTCTTCTATAGATATTACAATATTTATTGGCAATATATTGGAAATGAGAAGAATCCTAAACAAATAAGTAATGAAGTACTTTAAGATGATTGCGTTGAGCAGATTATTAAGGATTGTATTGAATTTGTTATTGTTATTGCTAATCTTAGATTTTGGCTAAGTTAATGGTTGATAAAGGTACAACCTTTTTCAAAATACACTATTATTATTTATCCTTATTTTTTAGTAATTGATTCATGAGATTATTTTTGGCTGGGCTTCGACTACATGAACGTTATTCTAGATGTTATCTACGTATAGATTGCCATTGAATTTCAAGATTTTCGATAGCCTTGATATATATGAGTTGCACATTACTTCATTCAATTAACTACGATTGCTTTGAGGTGTCAATGTTATTCTTATTTAATCAATATTTAAAGTACTCTTCATTTTTATACATTTTAACATGCATACGTTCTTGTGGTAATTAACGTAATTAACTCAGACTTAAATTCTATGCATAGAAAGTATTCATGGCTTAACAGTTAAAATTTAATAATAAATGACATTTAATCAACGATTATTATTTTCTGACAGATTTACAAAAGGCTTAAAATAATATATATATTTTCAGGAAATGTAGAATATTAGTAAATCTAATTATAATCTAAGAGAGTTTGTTGTATCAATTAAAGTTCATAACATAGCACAATAAATTGCAATAATAACAAAGTTACCAAATAAGCTATATTCTTAATTAATAAATAACTAAACATCAACATTTGGAATATTATCTTATTAAAAACAAATGAATGTTTTAATAATTTTTTATACAATAAATAGTATTTCAATTTATAAATAATCTGTTTTGCTTTGTTTATTCAATTTGATTATAGTAAAATATCTTGTGTAAAAATGAGAGTAATTGAAATTAAGAAAATAATGATTTTTTTAATCTTTATCTAAAATATTAGTAGAATCTCATTAGGTATTCTTCAAGAGAAGAGATTAAGATGGTTGATTGAGTAAATTTAATGTTGATGTATTTATTATAAAAGATTTTAACATAAGAATATTGTAATTTTTTGGGTTAAATGATTATAATCTTAAATATTAATAATTGAGTCATAGAAATGGGAAATTGTTAGCAATGCAATGATAATGTTCCAAATAAGACCCAAGAGATATTGACAACAAAAACAACAAAGAGTAAATAAAAAGTTGGAAAGAAGTTAAATAAATAAGAAATAAAAGGAGTAATTAAAATATAAGCCAATTTTAGAGGTTATGTAATACGGAAGTATTTGTGTTATTTTACATTAGAAAATATTAATTTAAATTTTCCCGATCGACAGCTTAAAAACATAGTTCTTCAATCTTAAATTAAAAGAGTTCTCATAATGATTCAGTTATAGCTGAAACTTAATAAGTGAAATAGAATACACTCTAAATATAATAGACAATTAAAAGATTGCCTCCTAGAAAGGATCAAGAGGAAGAATCTATTTAAAAATAATTTTACAATGCCGATATTACTATAAATATTAATAAAGAAGTGAAAGATGATGTTAGTTCTATGTCTGAAATTAGCAAAGCAGCTAGTAATCCAATAGCAATATCAACAGAGATGAATGGATTATGTTTTATACCATTAGAAAAAAAAGATTAATAATCAGTCTAAAGTAATCAACAATAAAAATTACCTTGCATTTAATTACAAAATGGATGTTTTTATGAAGGTTAATGGAAGAATGGGATGATTCATGGTTTTGGTAAGTATATATTATCAGAAAATTCATTCTATATAGGAGATTGGTATGAAAATAAACCAAATGGATCTGGTACATTTCAACATTCAAATGGTGATTTATTTTTAGGTACATGGATTGATGGATAAGTTTAAGGTAAAGGAAAATACACATTTTCAGATGGTACATATTATGATGGTGAATGGAATAATGATTTACCTAATGGTTATGGGAAATAAATATATGAAAGTGGTTGGATATATGAAGGTAAATTTTGAATTGTATTCTAAGGCTAGGAAGTTTTCAAGATGGGTTTAAAAGTGGGTTTGGTAAATTGATATATCCTGATGGAGCAATATATGAAGGAAAATTCGAAAATGATTAAATGTCTGGATTCGGAACTTTAACTTTTGCAGATGGAAGAATATATACTGGAGAATGGAGAAATGGTCTTAAAAATGGTAAAGGAATATTTGAATGGCCAGATGGAAGAAAATATGAAGGATTATATCTAAATGATTAAAGAGAAGGATATGGTGTATTGATGTGGCCTAATGGTTAAAAATATTTAGGACTTTGGAAAACTGGACTTTAACATGGTAATGGATAAATCGTTAAATCTAATGGAACTACTTTTAGAGGAAAATGGATCAAAGGAAAAATTGCAACAACCAAATTAACCACTAATACTCCTGCTAAAGTAGTTAAATTAACTCATGATTGATTTATATCATTTTTCTATATTCTACTCTTTTAAAATTATTATTTCAATATCTTCTTCTTATTAAATTTTAACATTCAACTTCATATCTAAATTATTTTTACCTAATTTTTCTGATGCCCATTACTCTTAAGGATCAATACTTAGAGCTTCACTATAGTAATTTATTGCTTCTTTATACATTTATTGTTGTCTTAAGCAATCCCCTAATTTTATACTATATAATTTTACCTATCCTAACTAAAGTTACCACATGCTTTTGATTTAATTTATTTGCTTTTTATAAAAATTCCATTGCTTAATCAAATTACCTTTTTAATCTATAACAATCCCCTATTTATTATATTATTCAATATTTTTACCCTTCCCACTTAAGGACTCTATGTGTTCATTATTTATCAATAAAACTTAATTATATTGAGAGATTGCTGCATCATCTTTACCTTCCATTCTTAAGAGTTCAGCTATTTAAATTATATATACAATAACATACCTTGACCCCAAATTACTTCTATGTTTTTTTTGTCTTATATGTTATCAAATATCTTTCTAGCGTCAACAAATTTTCTATCTTTTATTAAGCAATGAGCTAAATTTTTTATCTTAACTAATAATACCTTTTCCTATCAAAGCTTATTAATTATTTTAGTCTAATGAAAGTGTTTTTTCATAATGTTTTAGAGCATCAGAAAATTTATTCCTTCCTCTTAATGAGTCCCCTTTAATATAGAATACTTTCTATACCTAAACCATTAATTGCTTCCTTGTAGTTAGGATCTATTTTAACAGCTCTATCAAAAGAATGGAAGGCTTCAAAATATTCAGTTTTTTAAAGTAAAATTTTGCCTAAATATTAATTATTTTATAAAAACCATTTTCTGTTAATGAAATTTTATTATTAGGATCTATTCTCAAGGTTTAATTCATAATATCCTAAGCTTTAAGAAGATTATTCTAATTTAATAATTGAGTGCCTAATTAATTAATATAAAAATACATTATAATTATAATTCTATTACTTTTTTTTAATCTTCAGCAGGAGCTTAATAGTATAATTCTTATTTTAATTTAAGATTTTTAATAGTCTCATTAACTTATTAAATTGTTAGTTGCATTAAGCTCAGTACTTCCTCCTGGACTAAAGTTTAATCTTATTTAAATTTTAAAAGCCCTTAAAAATAAGACTCCAACTAAGCAAAACTAAATTTTTAAATATTATTGAATGACAATTAGAACTTGTGGTTTAATGTAAATTTCAATTCATCTATGGAATTTGTAAGTTAAATTTATTAATTCTTGATATCATTAATTAAGTTTGAGCATAAATTGTTCAATTCTTTTGTTTGTTCATTAACACTCGATAATTTATAGATCTTATTTCTATGATCTTTATGCATGTCACTTTAAAAACATTTATAACAGAGAAGCTTTTGTTCTTTGCAACATTAATCGAAACAAAAAAATTCAATCACATCATCTTTATCTTTATGAAGAGGATTTTAGCATTAATGTGTCTGATTCATCAACAATAATATCTTAGTAAGTGTTTTAAGATTAATAAATAATTATAATAATGAAAATAAATTCGAAACAAAAAATATAAAACATAGATAAAAAAAATCATTCACAAACCAGCTTGAGTATTTCTAATGAATTTATGTCTAACTATTTTTCATTCTAAAATTAAAATAAATAAATTACCAATTATTAAACAACTCTAATAAATTTGGCTACAAATTTAATAGAATTCAAGATTTGTAACTTGGATTTATTATGGTTTTTTAAAAAATCTTCAAATTGATTATCTTTGAGTTCTTTTGAGTATATGACATACAAAATTGAAAATGAAAGATCTTCTAAATAATAGTTTAGATAATTATGATCTAAGACAATAACATTAAGTATTTGGTTGATAATTTTCATATCTTTTTGATTGATTTGAATTTTAAGATTTAATTGTTGATTTGAGTTATAAATATTTAATTATGGGAAGGCTACTTAAAATGTTAAAAGGACCTCATAAAATACATCTTATAATGTAAGTGGATTTATATGCCAATCTAAAACTGTAAGGATTAATTTTTCATATGATAATAATTGTTATTTGGTAATATTGAGTGATGATTATGAAAGTAGTAGATTAATATTGGGAGTATCAGAATTCATTTTAGAGATCACAAAAATGATAGCTAAAGATAGGAATCTTAATTGATATTGATTTGTGATTGTTTTAATTTTAATCTTACTTAGAAATAGATCAAATAGATAGATGGCTTTATGAAAATAGGGATTGTTAATATTAATACAATTTTCTAAAATTCTATTTAGTATGATTGCTCTAGTTTTAAAGTTATATTCTTTTTCTTTAAATTCTTAGATATAATTTGGATTGATTAAATAGAACTACTTTTAATTTGGAATGATAGTGTTTGTATTTGTAAAATTGATATGCACATAATGTTCAATTTTGAGATTCTCATGACAATATAGATTATCTTCATATGTGTTTTGAGTGCTATCTGCAGTAGTCTTGATTTTCTAAGAGGAATAATATTATAATCATTTACCTTAATAATTTAAGGAGATTGTATTGAATACTCATTTTAAGTACAATCTTATGTAATTGTTTATGTTTAAACACATCTTTTTATTGTCGATTTTTTAGTGGAGGAGGCAAAGTAGTCTATAGATGATTCATATATATATATTAATACTTGTTGAACCTAAATAATGCACTCCGAGTAGTAATTTGAATCTTTTATCATCCATCTTCATTATTTATTTAATAGCTTATAATCCTTTTAATATTTGCCTTTTGTTTTGTAATGAGCGCAATTTCATGATATTTTTGTGTTTATTTTGTATTTGGTATCAGAATAGGATGTTTTTTAAAAATTTGAAAATTTATTAACACTTAATAAAAAATTAGATTGTAATTTAAAGTAATAGATTAGAAAATGGTTATATGAGATATTGAAATTAAGTAAAAGTATAAAAAATACAAACACTTTATTGAAGTAACAAAGAATAAAAGTAATATAATTAATAATTAATGAATTATTCAATCTGCTCTTTATCTTGGTAAATTTACAATACCTTTAATTAATTATGCTACAAACTTAGAGTAAATATAGGTTAATATTTTCAGAAATACTAATAAAAAGTTCAATCTAAAAGTGAGATAATTAAAATTACTTATTAATGTACGCTAAAAATACTTGAATAAAGAAACAATAATAGACCCATTTGAGTAGGAATTGATACATTAGATATGATTTGGTTCTATAAGCAGATATAGCCAAATAATAGAAGATAAGACAGCTGATAATGTCAATGACAGTTAGAAACCAATATAATTATTCAGCTCTATCTTGAGAATCCAATAGTGTTTATAGCTTATTAATAGTATCTTATCTAAAATACATTCCTAAGAATGTAAAGATAGAATTAAGTATAGCATGAAGGATGACTATAACGAGAATAATGAGTTGTTATTTGAGCATCATTTCAAGAATAGAATTAACAAGAGAAGGAATGGCTTAACCAATCTACTCATCTAGAGAATCAGCTTAGGAACCTTCTTCATCACTTTCAACATTTCTATGAGTAATATGTATTTGGGTATCATTTGAATATGGTTCGACTAGTGTTGTAATCAGCAAAAGGTACGCTGTATTATCGATCCATCTCTATTTTCAAATAAAGTATCGTCATCGTCTATTTCAAATGTCTAATACTTCATTTTTATATTATTTATAATTATTATTTAT